CTCAAAATTTCTATAAGTATAGATGATTATGTTGAAATGTTGTATATGAAAAATTCATATTATTTGAGTATTGGATTTTTGAGATGTAATGGAATTAGTATGTAGGTGCCTAAATACCAACATATTTAGCACTTATTAGAAATTAGGCAATATCCAAAGATCTGTAATGAATTTATGGTTGAATTTCTTTTGTGGAAGTAGTTAATGATATAAGATAACTTCTAAAGATGTTTGTATCCAGCTAAATGGTTAGATTGAAAGTTATAAGATAATACATATTTGAAAGGAATTCTTATAAGAATTTAAGTGGTTTTAAGATATCTAGTTATATCTCAAGAACTCTTACGCATCTTAGGCTTGTGTATTTGATGTAAATATCTTCATGAAGACAAGCTATAAATAAAATTTGTATTTTGTAAACTTGAAATTCTTTGAGCAATTAGTGGTAGTTAGAAGCACAATGATTTTTTAAAGAATTTTTTTTCTACTATGACAATATTGAATATAAAATATATGCAAAAATGATGCAAATGTGACTTCAAATAATTTTGATGAATATTATTGGTATGAATTAATCAACCTTCTTATTTAATTGTTTTAGCTTAAATAATGTACATTTGACACATAAAACCATGGTATAGGCTGAAAAATCAAAGCAATAACTTTTTTTTTTTTAAACTAAACTTTTCTAAAGCAATAAAATAAAGTTAATTGGAAATTTCTTTTTCTTCCAATAGGATAGCTTAATAGAGGATGCAAATACTCCATAGGCTAATTTAAAGGCCATAGGAAGAAGAGTAGGTAGATATCTTTATACATAAAGCCTCTCCAATCCTCTTGGTGGTACAACAAATTATGAATAATTATCAATCAACTACAATAGAATTAGAATTTTGGATTTCTTTATAAACACATGTTTAGAAATAAAAAAAAATACGGTGTTATATTAAAAAGTAGCATAATATGTAAAAATAATATAAAATGATATAAAATTTTTAATTTTAATTAAAAATAAAATAGATAAAAAATAAAAATAAAAAACAAATATAATAAAATATTTGTCTAATTCTTTTAAGTTTGTAATTAAAGATAGAAGTTGCAAGATTTATTAGTAAGAAGTTTAAAGGGGCTTTGGAATCAAAAGTATAATATTTTGGCTCTTAAGCTATCTTATGTGGATGGATAAGATGACTGACAGAGGATTTCATTTCTATTGGTTGAAAGTCATGTCCAATAAACTTCAAGATGTTATTTGAGACTACACTAAAGTTTGGGACTACTTTACAATAACCCATTTGAAGTAAGGTGGACCATTCAAGAAAAGGTAATGCATTTGAAGTTAGGAGGTTGGATTCAAAAAGTGTGTGTTTTGGGCTAGAATTTGAAATGAAAGAAATATGTGATTTGGAATTATAATGAGAGAATTATAATTTTTTTGAAATTAGGGTATGATTTTAGTACCTACTATTACTCTTTTAAGCATATAGAGAGTTGTAGGAAAGCTTTGAAGAATCAAAAATTGAGATTCGAAAATAAACTTAAAGAGCTACATTTTATGTAAAGAAATCAATATATTCCAATGAAAAAGAAAGAATGATTGGAAGTTAATATTCAAAACTAGGATTTGTAATTGAATTGCTTTTAATAAAGGTTTTGATTTTTTCCATATCTTAAATTTTTGGACAAATTTTTAGTTCAAATTTTTTACAAATTTAGATAATTATATTAAAAAGTTTTATATAAAAATTTTATGATATTTGAACATTAGATTTTTGAGATATGAAAAAATTAGTGTGGGGTTGCCAAAAAATTAACATGTTTAGTACATACTAGAGATTAGGCAATATCCAAAGACTTATAATGAATTTATGGTTGAATTTTTGTATGAAAGTAGTCAAAAATATAAGTTAACTTGTAGAAAATATTGAACCTAATTAGACAGTTAGATTGAAAGTTATTGAGTGATACATATACAAAACGGATTTCTATAGGAATAGAAGTGATTTTAGGATATTTATTCACATCTTAGGTACTTTTATGCATTCTAGACTTATATATTTGATATAATTTTCTTCTTGAAGACAATTTATAAATCATATTTGTATTTTACAATCTTGCAACTTGTTTGAACAATTAGTAGTAACCAAAGGCCTAGTATTTTTTTGACGCAACTCTCTCTAATACAATAATGCTTACATTATTTGAAATAAAATATAAATAGAAGCTAACTCTATATTGTGATGTAAGAAAATATAGAGACAGAAGGACGTATTTCTAAGGCTTCTTTAAGAGGGCCAAAATTGCTTCAATTCTAAAAGAATAAAGAAAGTAATTAATCTTCCTCTATTATGGAAGAGTATATCGATTGATATAGAACCTTGAATGGTATCAATGGCTTGACCACATACCATTCATGTAATTCATATAATTTTCTCTCTTAAACTACTCCTTGCTAAAGAAGAGATATGTGGTACTTAATATTATTGAATGGAAGTGGGATCAAATTTAATTGCAAAGTTTTAAGCTAACATGGGCAAATGTTTGGGACACTAAGAGAGCAAGGAAAGAGGCTAGTCTTTTATAGCAAACATGACATAGATGAGTTATAGTGAATGCATAGCGATGATACATTTATAAAGTTACAAAATAATGTTATCTTATATGTATGAATAGCTTAAAAGAGATAGTGATGTATTAATTTTGGAAATATGATTGTTGATTTGAAGTATGCAAGTGAGAGATCGACTTCCTCTAACTTCTTACCTCAATGACCATGCCTACAATGATCTCTAAATGGAGAGATAATAGTAACAAAAATACAAGCACACTTGACCTTATGGCCAATGAACAGAGGAGACAAGGTAATGCTATAGGAGGTAACACATTTAGAATGCAACACCTTCAATTTTCACCATTGTGGATACATTGTATTTTTGTGTATTTGATTCCTAGGTGCTTTAAAAAGGTAAGTTGAATATGGTTATTAACACGTGGTATTGTAATGTGGATCATTTGGATCAAACAAAATGACATAGTATTTAATGGAGACTTATGGACAAGTGAACAAGTTAGTCATCAAATATGGCTGCAATTGATAGATTATGGAAGGAATGCTTGGATCAAAATGCAGGAGAATATAAAAATTAAACCACTCCTTGAAGCCAAATTCATTCAACAGTTCCATCAATCATGGTGCATGAACCAAGTTATGGCTAGCTGGGTAACAAACAAGCTACTTTGGAACCTATTATGGCAAGGAAGGTAGAAGTAGATAGTTGTCTGATTTTGTTTATATTGTAAACTAACATTGGCTGGCGACATGTAACTTACCCCTCTGCAATAGAGAAGGTCCTCTGTTTGTGTCAAAAACAAAAAAACAAACAAAACAAACAAAAAATACATAAAAAAATAGTATGACTGAAGGGGTCAGTCATGTGATCAGGGTTGGTTCGACTGGGAGAAACCAACACAAATTCGCTGATACGTCTGATTTATTTATTCTTTTTGTTTATTTCTGTTGTTGTCAGTAATCATGTTCCCTGCTTTTAATGAGCACAAGTGCCTACAATTATCCCGAACTGACCCTGTCGCGGATCAAGCACTGCAGTTGCACGTGGAGAGCTGAATCAAACACTGCAGGTCGAGATTTTAACCGCGACTGTGAACTTTACCGGGCTGAGTCTGGGGACTTTCCTTTGAGAATTGTTATCATGTATCAAAGTTTTTGTTCAAAAATAAAAGGTTATAAGAAGCAAATGAGTAAAAAAAAAAATTCAAATAAGACGAAGGAGGGGAAGCTGGTAATCTACTGCCATACCTTGGCTACCTGTGATTAACTAAGGATAAAGTTTTTTGTCTGGAATTGAACATGACTCATTCCCCTTTCAGAACAAAACCAAAGGCAAAAACTTACTTTTGAATTACGACGACTGGGTTTTGGGCTGTACACAGGGTTAATCTGTCGGTAGAAATTGATTTGCCTCCAAGATTATCGCCGACGTCGCTTTCAGCTCCCAGTTGACAAAGGAAACGCTTCAGGTCAGTTTTCTACTGCGCCGTCAAATCATGCCTGTATCTACTTTAACTCGATTTCTCTTTCGGGTTAAAAGCGCTGAAGTGGCTCAAACGTTGTACCCAAATTCTATCCTGTTCGCCAACATGTGGGTGGACTCTCCAGAGAGGATACGCGAGTGAAGTATGAGTAAAAGGAAATCCATCACCACTTGATTTTGTTTCCATGTAAATGATATCAGAGACTCATTTCAGGGCTGGCCCATATGATCGGTTGGCGCCCGGCAGTCACTCTGACGCCACCCACCACCAGACCGCCACAGCGGAGGAATTGTTTTAATTATTTTTTAATTCTTGATAAGAATGTTTAAACTTGCAGCGTCCATGATGTAAGGAACGTGAACTCTGACCAGATCGAAGCTCTGCGGAAGGGACTGTCCCTCCCACTAGACCCGAATCTAGATCTAATTCCCTGCCAAAGACCGATGCCCCAGCACAGGCTTCCACTTGACTACCACACGTTAATTCAGGGCGGCAGTCAAGCAAGGTTATTCACTGGTGTCAAGTGTACAGATACCCACACCTACCATGTGAAGAAGCGGAAAGGAAATTTACTTGATTTACCGAGGTTTATACAAAGATAACTTTGTTGGTGCACACAACCAGTCTCTCCTGATCGCTTTGTCTGCAATCTTCGTGCGTGCCTGATGGCCTATGTCGAGCTCTAGTTTGCCTTTTTCTGGAATTTGAAGTTCGTGGGGTTAACGTTTGAGCATTGCGATTATCCACATGTTACAATTGTCTACAGTTCATTGGGAGAGGCGACCCTCGGACGTAAAAAGAGCTGGGTCTAGTTTCGTGGTTTTCAGGTTAAATTGTGATACGGTTTTACGTTATTCCATAATAAAGTAATTGGCGGAAGAAAGACGCCAGTGGCTTTTGTTTGGAGTTGATTGCCTGGGGATCTACCTTCCGGGCGATATTTAAGGAAGTAGTTTGAGTCTTCGCCTCGGATCCCCAGCGTTATGTCGTGATCGGTAGGAGACTGTGTTCCACACTTTCCCCTCCCGACCAACCTGACAGCTTGCTTTATTCTACCTGGAGGAGCCCGACGCTTATTAACCCTTTTGAGGAAGTCCTCCACTTGCTCCTCAGTGTCACTTGCATCACAGTCTCTTTATAAAATTCTCTCGACCGGGTGAGAGACATTCCATTCAGGTTATTGTGTGTCGTTGGGTTGTAGGGAGGGATAGACGTGAGACACCTCTCAAAAGCGAAGCAGAATAGGGAGTGGAGGAGAGAGACAAAGGGCAGTGAAGGAACTGGATTGGGTTTTGACAGGGGACGAAGGCAGACGGAGAGGTCTGAATCTGAAAGCAATCGACACTTAGAAAAGAACACGATGCTCTAGCGATTGCAGGGTGTTGGTTTGAAACAAAATCTGGGAGCCATGGCAGCGCAGTCGTGGATCAGGGGGAAATTGCTCGGTGCAGGCACTTTTGGGAGTGTGAATCTCGCGATTAACAGAGAAAATGGTGAAGTGTTTGCCGTGAAGTCCGTGCAGGTTACTGAACGCGACTCAAGGTCAGAGGTCGCGGTCAGAGCAATCGAAAACGAGATCGATATATTGGAGAAATTGGATTCGAAGTATGTCGTGCGCTGCCTGGGAAGCGATTGGACCGAAGAGAGTGGTCAACTGATGCGCAACGTGTTTTTGGAGTACATGCCTGATGGCTGCTTGACGGATTTTGTGAAGCAGTTCGCGAACTGCGGGGCTTTGAATGAGCACCTGCTCCGGAAGTACACGCGCAGCATCGTGGAGGGGATTGATTACCTGCACAGCAATGGGATTGTGCACTGCGATATCAAGGGGAAGAACATCTTGATTGGAAACGGTAGCGTGAAGTTGACAGACTTTGGATCCTCCAAGAGAGTTGGCGGGGCAATGGAGAGCGACGTCATGAATTGCTCTGCCACGGTGAACGGGACACCGTTGTGGATGGCGCCGGAGGTTGTGAACCAGGTGGAGCAAGGTCCTGCTTCGGATATTTGGTCCTTGGGATGTACCGTGGTTGAAATGGCTACGGGTCGAGCTCCATGGAGCAACTTCGCCAATCATTACGCTGCCCTTTACCACATTGGGTGCACTGACGAGCTCCCTGAAGTGCCTGCTTCGCTTTCCGCAGAGGCGCACGACTTTTTGTCTCACTGTTTCCAGCGAGAGCCTTCCAAGCGATGGACTAGCACCCAGCTGCTCCAGCATCCCTTTTTGACCACCCGGTTTGTGGCAGCAGCTCCTGCTGTTTCGAAAGCGGCCTTGTCCCCAACTACAGTTTTGCGTCTCCCCGTAGACTCTGACTCTGACGCTTATGAGTCTTATGTGTACGCTGTGCCAACTCTCGCTGCGCCTGCGCCTTCTCTTTTCAAGCGAGGATTGGTGTGCGCCAAACCTAAGTCGCAAGAACAGGTTGAAGAAGATTGGTGGAGCACCTCTGCCAGCCCTGATTCCGGGCCTTGGATCGTTGTGCGATCGCCGAGAAGCTCGTCTCCTGCTAATTTCTTCGTGGCTTCGGAAATTGAAATCCTACCCGTTTCCATTGAAACTCCACTTGTAAGCCAGAAGGTTGGGGACCGTGAACCCAACTTTATCAGCTCAGACGTGCTTGTGGAACAAAGCCCCTCCGGCTTCGTTTTCATGGCAGCTTCATGCAGTTGCTCTTCAATGTGTTTTGAGACTTCTTCACTGGAGTCGGTGGTTGATATTTGCGACGCTGGAGAATCCTCACCCGTCTGCAATTTCGCCATTTCCGAAATGGGTGTCGGAGGAGAAACTAGTGTAGCTGATGATTTCGTTGGATTGTCGGTGTGGGTGTCGGGGGATAATCGGTGCTCCGCCAAGGATGAAGAAACACCTAATTATGGTTTAAGTTTAGCATTCGGTGCTGTAATCGACACCGCTTGTGACTCGTATTTCGAGCTAGGAAGTATTTATCAGTATTCAAATTCACAGATTCTTATTTATTGGCATTACAGGCTTGATAGTAAAGGCTCACGCACAAGTAGAGAATTGACATGTTGGCACCTTCATTATGTCAATCAATGTGTTTTACAAACTCCATGTTCAATGCCAGTGAAACTTCATAGACAACATCTCTCGCCTTTTGGCTCGTGTGTGTGTATGTATGTATGTATATATGTGTGTGTGTTTATTTTAGCGCATTTGGTTACATCAGTCATCTCTAGTTATCTCGGTCAGCAAGCTTTTGCTTAATTGATGTTAGCTGCTTCAGGGTTTTCTCATTTACAATTTACTCGAGCTTTTAGTCCACCTTGCTGCTGTCACCAAGCTCTTGCCATGCTTCAATTTTCCTTATTACAAACGGTTAATTTCTAGGTCTACCTGTGAACCGTTTCTTGTACAAGCTATCTGAGACACACTGATTTATCCTCGCTGCTCAACAGTGACAAGATCAGGATAGACAGATCAATGGTTTGACAACCAAACAGTATATGTGCAAGCACACCTGCACACTGTCCAGTTCTTGTGACGCTTCATGAAGCTCGCAGGTATGCCGTTGGCATTCACTAACTAAAACCAACAACCCAATGCGTAACGAGTTGGATTTCAACCTTCCAATTGTTCATCGATTGGTTCATGTTCAAGTCAGATACTCGTCGATATCACAGAGTCAACAACTGTGTTAAACCCCATGTGAAAATTCAACTTGTCAGTTTAGTTCACCAGAGAAGTACTACTCTCGAGCTTAACACATCCACGATGAACTCAACAATTTCATTTATTTAGTTTTGTCTGATTGTGCTACCACGTTAGACGGTTTCGATTTGAACTCAAACTTCCATGGTGGCCGTAAAATAGATGTATGATGCATTCTCTGAGAATTCGATCAGAGAAAATGCAGGTCAATGAGTTCATCGAATTCGAATAAAGAGACCGATTCCTGAAGCGCAGAAAAGTCTGTTTCGAGGTTGAAATGATCACCAATGTGCTCAGTAAATAGGGTCTATCTTCCGACAGCAATCAGTACTGCAACAGTACCTAGAGGCAGCCACTCCATCCTTCAGCCGCATGCACCGAACATAAGTGTAGGCAAAGGGATGGCCAGAATTGCCGCCACGGGAATATTTATGTCATCGCTTGCACCGCAATAATGCCGCACAGCTGGGCAGTCTGATTGACCGCTAGGTGAAATTCAAAACTTCGCCCTGAATGATTGGTCGCCAATACACACAAGAATATACTTTTATTCCGGTTCATAATGCACATTGCAAACGCCATACCAATCGTGTTTATATATATATATATATTTTTTACTTGCCAAGCTTTCTGCGACCTATTCGCTAATCTGCACAAGGAGCCATGACTGGTCACACACAGCTGGGAGAGTTCACGGTGCAAAGGAATCTCACTAAGTCAGCCCTCCTCATTGACCCACGTAAAAGCCCACACTGGGTCACACCGGAGAAGTTACTCGGCGTGAATTGGGTTTTCCAGGTGTTGTCATTCTTGGATTCTTCATGTACAGTGCTACTACTATAGCCTTTAAAGGTTTTGAAGTTTTTTCAACTGGTTGCTGACGCAACTGCTCATTGTACTTTAACGTTGAAGCAGCAAAACAGTGTTTTTCAGAGCGAAACTGTCCGAACTGTAAACCAGTTCGCTATCTCTTAAGGAAAACTGCTCACTTGGACAAACCCACAGTCGGCAAATTCGGTTGGTAGCAGCTCTCCATAATCTCGATATTCAGTACCTCGCAGAATGAACAGTGTACAGACTCGTTGAGCCTCTAAGTGTTTTGAGGGTCGCAAGTACGAGTAGATTAGGGCTAATCTAATTATAAAGTCATAGAAATGATAGAAATATTTTATTTGCAAACCAAGTAGATATATTTTAAATCTGATATTCTTAGATACTAGCTAATATATGTTATAGATGAAATCTAACTTTTAATGAATTATAAATGAATAGAGGTGTTTGAAGATTTGGAAAGATTTCTTGTCTCAGCTTTATTTTTTAAAAATAAATCAGAATTATTTGAGATGTACAATGATTCTAGTTTAATTGGCTTCTTAACAAACAAAAAAAAAAAAAAAAAAAAAAAAAAAATGCTTTTAACATTGAACAAACTTTAAGATTACAAACTTCTTTAATCTAGAAATAACTACACTTGTATATTTTTTTAATTAGTATCCTTGCTTTAAGACTTATCTATATAAGCTAGTCTAAAATATTTAATCTTAGCTATATAAAATATATAAAAATGTTAATTTATGTTAATTTGACTAATAATAAGAGATAGTAAGGCATTAGTTAAGTAAAATTTGATTTAAAAAATATAAATTTTATTTTTTTTTAATAAAAAGAGACAAATATAGTGATCATATATTATTTAGCTAAATGGAATTGATTTATCTAGCAAGAGATATATCTGAATTAGGACCTTATAATAAAGAAGTAACAAGATATATACGTAATTAGTAACCAACTTGTTCTTAAAATGTCTAAAATTTAAAGGATAGATAAAAAAAACTATGTTGATATAACTTGTATTATAGCAAAATATTGAAACCAATTGATGAAGGATTTATATTTTTAATAATGTAGATTACATATGCCTTATTAACATTATTCTTATTCAAAGAATGTTTGCATGTAAATTATTTGATTATATAGATATGGTGTTGTCTTCTACGAAGCTAAGTAGCCAAGTATCAAGATTAAAAAAATCCTTGTAACAAACAATTGTAGATTATGGCATGTTGAATTAACATAATATAATTAAAAGAATCTAACAAAAGCTAAAAAAATCAAGATCAATTTTTTCAACAATAATACCATTCAATGATGGGAAAAAAAATGATAATAAAGTAAGAAGGTGTATTATATAATGTCAGACAATATCCAAATATATCTTAACAAGCCATTCCTATACAATTAATTGATGCCAACATAGTCTAATACTAACTCATATTATTTAAAAACTTATTTTTAAAAGCCACGATTTAGAAGCTTTTTAATATTAATCAAACAAATGATTTATAAATTAATTTTTTTGACATCTCTCTTAAGCATTAAGATAATTAAATTATATGCATATAGTTCTTTAAGTCAAAGTTTAATTTGATTTAAATCTAAATCTCATCTAATAAAAGGTTTAAACGAGAGTAGTTGTAAAAGAATATGAAGCTTTGATGCTAAAAAAGCAATTGAGATAGGGCAAATGTAATAGGATATGGATAAGACATTCATATTGTTGACACATAGATATAGGTAGTTGGAGCCATATTTGGAAAGTTTCTAGAAGTTATTAGAAGTTTTTAGAATTGACTCTAGGTTGGTGGTTTATTTAGGATCCACTATGAAACATTCTAGAAAGAGCTTAGGGTGGTTATCTAGGTGAGATCCACTATTAAGAACATTCTAGAAAGTTCGAAGATAATAGGACAAAGTATAAGTAGGAATGGCTGGGGCCATTTGGGTATCTGATTAGGTATGGCTTTGGTCTCTTTCTCTTTGTAAAGTTTGATTTTGTACTTTTATGTTCAATTTTATTCTATTCTCTTTTGTTTTGTTCTACCTTTCATGTTCTATTTTGTTTTAGTTCTATTCAATTTTGTTTTGATCCAATTTGTCCTATATTGTGATGGGATTTATATTGCTATGAATTAGAAGGATGTTAGATCTTAGTGATAATCTAATCTTGTTTCAGCAAAGGTGAAATTGTTTTCATTCTTCTTTTACAAAACAATATTAACACAATTAAACAAAATATATATATATATATATATATACACATTTATACAAAGATAAAAGATCAAAAATAGTAAAATATATGAAATATTAATAATTAATTAATTATATAAGATTAAACATATTTTAATAGTTAAGATATTTATTAGGATTTATAAATATATGTAAAAATAGATAAGAAGATACATTATATACAGAAACAATAAGACCATTGGAAAAGTTAGATAGAATCTATTTGACTAAAGTTCAAATTCTATTCTAGATCTTTCTTGCTAAGCTTCTTTTAAAACTTAAAAATATTTTTAAATTATTTGGTTTTTACAAAAAAATATTAGTTTGTGAACTATATAAATTAAAAGCTATGCAACAATTATTCAAGGAGAGGTGTCTAATATCTAATATACACAATATTTACTATAAATGAATTTGATTAAATGTGAATAGATAGTATAGAAAGTTACAAGGACAAAAAATCAAAACAAAACTAAAAAATAAACTTGTTTTTATCAATAAACAAGATAATTTATAAATGACTAAAAATATTTGTAAAAAAGAAAAAAGAAAAAAAAATAACATTCTAGCATCCCACATAAAAATTTAATTATTTTCATATTGAGTGCAAGCCAAGTAGAGAGATAAAATGTACAAATACTAATCCTTCTAAATTTATTTTATTTTTATCCTATGTGCACCCAACTTGGATATGAGGACCTAAAATGGGTCGTCTATACTATTTTCTTTTCATTTGATGGGTCTTCACCATTTCCCATTAGTATCAAAATAAACAAACAAATCAAGTCAAAGACCCAGGTCAGCCAAGAATGATCTCTTTCTTCAACGCAAAGGATAGACACTTCTAAGTTACAAAATCAAAACAATGTATAGAAAGGAGACGAAAAAGAAGAAGGAAACGGTCACATGAGACAACCCTGCACTTGGCGTAGGAGCATCAAATCCTACGAATGCTGCTTTCATTCATGAGGACCGAATAAGGCATGAGTGTGATTTCTGTTTTTTTTTTGTTGTGTTTAGTTTTTTTGTTTATGTTATTTATGTTTTCTTGTAGAAAAATGTGGACTTGCAGTGCTTTTTTGCTATTCAGACTGCTGTCGTTATTCTGACCTGCACGGTGGTCAGAACTTTGCTGATCAGCTCATTGCAATTGATTGGGGCTTGGCTCAAGCAAACCAACAATCTGCTTGACCCAGAAAAAGTAGAGCACTGGGAAGCAAGCAGGAGATCGCCAGTGTTGATCATCACCGACAAGTTTGTTATCAGTCAGTGTTTCGAAATTATTCATGTTGAGAACTTGAGCAATCAATCAAAGTGTTCGTGGGTACATCACGTTGCACAATCACATCGCTTCTTTGTCACCACTGGGAAAATAAATAAATAAATAAATAAATAAAGAGAGAAGAAGAGAAAAAAGGGAGAATCAATGTGTGCCACAGAAGTTACATCAATTAGGGTTTTGGTCCCGTTGTCTTCCCCGGTCATGCTTTAGGACTGCGCACAATGTGTTTACGGAGGGCGAATTGGGAGCTAGGAATGATGGTGAAGGTGGAGCTGCATGTTGTTTTTTTGTGCAATTTTTGAGCTGCGATGTAGATATTATGTGTCGAATATCTGAGAAGGAACATGGTAGAAGAAAACGTGTCGGTAATGCACTAGGGCAGTTCAGTAGGGATGACACTAAGTTTTCAACGCTTAGTCGAGCAATATGCTGAGAAAAGTTTTTGTTTGATTGCTATAGTCAACTCTTTTTTTCCTAATGATGTGCTGATCAACATAGATGAGCATTCGAGAAACGAGAATCCAAATTGCAACTGCTAATGCAGCTCTCTTCGCTCTCTAACGTAATAGAGTATGATGCCTCATGACTCGTGGTCTTTACTCAAAGAGATGGGTGGGTCGTCGTTTATCAAATTCAGCTCATCGACTAGTAAAATGTCATAGTGTTGTTCACAGAGCTTGTTGGTGTGATTTTTGTGTAGCGTGCTTTCTGTCTGGCGATCTGTAAGTGCAACACGAGAAGGTGCTGCTGAAATTCAGCGATAGTCAGAGCTACCGACTTGCTTCCGTCTCCTTGGCTCTGAGAAAGATGATTCAAGGAACTGCCCTTCGTTTAGGAATTTGTATGTTTTTGTAACAAATCATGTTATGGATTGCAATCATGAATCCTTCTTGAAACATGATCTCGCCGTTCCATGACATCTTCTGTTAAAGCAGAGGTCTTTTGGGTCCAGATTTTAGCACTTGAAAAAGACACGGAAAATTACGGCCTGGAGCCCTAAATAGTTTAATGCACACGCCTGAACACTCTGCAATATGCTCAGATGTCGATGGCGTTTACCAGGCTTGCTTTCAAACTTCTCTAATGCTAAGCAATCCATGCGAATCTAACTCCATATGTAGAGGGTATTGAGAAATGAACTGTGTGGACGAAGATGCAAAGACAGAGAAGAGGGCGAAATTGCTTTATGCTGCACATCTTGCGTTGGAGAAACTTGTCTCATGTGCTTGTTTTCATGGTCTGGAAACAATTTTGCAAGGAAACAGAACTTGATTGATATCCAAATTGGGAAATAGACCAAGCATTCCATGCAAACATTCGTGTGGATATGCCATATGCACCTTAAAAACCTGGCTCTGTCAAGCAATTTGCCAGGAGAAATGCATCTGATCTTTGAACGGCTACCATCGCCGCAGACCATTAGCCTTCAGCTTCTTTCCAAAGAATGATACCAGAATGTGACAGCGAGAGAGTTTGAACTCAAGAGGGTTTATGCAATTACTCAATGCAAGCATGTCTGGTTTGGTTTCAAATGCAGGGTCGTAGCAATTAGGTTATTTGATGATAGGCAAAATAAGAATGGCACAGTTCTGAAGTGCACCACACCATGTCAGAAGGTAACCGCAGCTGGTTTGATGGAATTCAGCCCAGGCCCTGTGTATGCGACAATGGTGGAACTAAACTGATTGCTCCTGGAAATTGTTTGCCTTATGTTTGACAATCCTGCAAGGCCCACGTTCTTGTGAGTGGTCGTCTGTTTGTGCTACATGATTGGGGACGGCAACAGAGAAAACACAGCCGTGAATGGTAGCGTGAATCAACTCATAAACCTTGCTGGGTTGCTGCGAGGATTTATAAACATAGTAGGAATCCCAAAACATGGATGTTGAATACTTTGGCTTGTGGTTCTAGACTTTGTTATGAACACGAAAACTTCGTAGATATATCCTGTTTATTAACGTTACCAGTTGTCCTGCACTCTTACTCTATCCCGGAATCAGTTTGCAAAAGTTGTTGAACTTTGTAGATAGTTGTCAATTGTGCTACGTATTTCATGTCCCTTCCAAATTTTCTCTCCCTACGTAGTGCCGGAACATGCACCAATCGTCTTTACATAGAGTTGTCTGGAGGATTTTGAAGAGAACCTATGTCTTGACATTTCAGAGGCTCATAATGCTCATTGCGAGGATGCGAGTCTAGAGATTACGGTAATTGAGTTTTCGTACCATCCTCTTTGTTTTTTTGTGCTTCAGTGGATGTACTGCTCAAGTTCTTATCCAGTGCGGTTTAGCACTTATTCTACATGCTGTAGACAATTCTTGCCCCTTCTTTGCTGTGCATTTTCTGTGCTTTCTTTTGTTCTTTTGTCGTTAATTGTAATCAACAATAGTCTGCTCCTGAATACGTCTTTGCAGGCACTCAATTCTTTCCTTTGTTGTGATTTGTTTTTGTCGGTGAACCCTAGAGAGTTATCATACTAATTTGTTGGCTTGAGTCATAAGGGGATGCGAGTCATTTTTATCAATGCACATGCAGTTTCGTTTTTTTTTTTTTATTTTTTTTATTTTTTTTGGATATATCGTTCTTGTCATCGTAAAAGTAAACAAACTCTCATGCTTATTTGTGGATTTTTTTAATTTTATTTTCAGCTTGGGCCTACATAAATTACTGCCTACAGCTTAGCCTGAAGTCAGAAAATGCTTGGAGAACATTGTGCCATATGCTCCTGTAATTTGTGGTGATCTACAGCCATTGACTACTCGTAAGAATTTCACATGTCCACCGTCCAATACCGAACAATGCCCTACAGTTGAATGCAGGCAGAAACGAGAATGAGGGATGTAGCATTGCCAAACACCTCGGAAATCGTAGCTTAGAAATTAGGTTCCGTTTTGCCACCAGCAATTAGGTGGCATTTCTCGTCAAGAATCAACCCAGAGTTCATGTCTTTTCAACGATGTCATTGATGGGTTCTCAGTTAGCTCAGAGACCTCGGTAAAATACCTAGAATCGAACTCAAACAACAGACGCTCTTGGCTACAACTTATAGTTTCATCCGCAAAAAGAATATGGATGAAGGGGATGAGAGGACCAGATTGAGACACTGACAAGCTGCGCCTTGGCAAGACAACCTGCACATTGATTTCTAGTTGTTCGATTTGAAGCATGTAATTTAAGTTATTCAGGATGGCTATGGCGGTGGATTTTTCAATTTGCCTCGCACCAGCTCCTGTGACTACTCTTCGCGGTGAGAGAATGCTTTTCACAACTTTGCATATGAATTTTTTGCACTCCAACTAAGATTTCTGATTGTATGCATTCGTTTCGATTGGATGTGGTTTTCTTCTCGATTTCTACGCATTTACACCTTCATGGAAATAGAACGCTTTTACATTAAACAAAAAAAAAAAAAAAAAAAAAAAAATCCTCGCGATCTCGTCGAGTGCGTGGTTGCTCCTTTCTATGTGTCTGGTCGCGCAATTCAGTTTATGTGTCATACGTGGATTTCTTTTGCACTTGACTGTTCAAGCATTCTTGGTTCGTCCTTTTGGATTCAAGTACACGATGTTTTAGTATATACTTGAATTTGATGCTCCGGTTGATGTTTGCGTCTGTTGGGGAGGTTTTGAGGAAGAATGAGGTTATTTAGGTCAAAAATCTGTTTGGCAGGTGTAGGAAGGCCAGAAGCAGCTGTAGTTCGAAGACCTGGAAGAAACCGGTCATGCAGAGACACTGATAAGGTTCGCCATTCAGCACGAATTGGCCGCCCGTGTAATTGCCCTCGTGCTTGTGTTGTTTCCGCTTGTATGTTTTCTGAGTGGTCTGCCTTTTATTTCGGAGACTTTGTTCATCACTGTCATAAATCAGTCAATGCACTTCATAGATCTGTTATCTGCAGTATTCTGCTTGACAATATTCAACGAGCATATCCTCTGAAGTTTTGGACATCTTTCTCAACTGTTTCGACATTTTAGAAGTCATTTTCGTATCCGACTGACCATTCTTCTGAAGGGCTTGTTAATCGACAGCTTCACGTGAATGTGTGACAACGTGGTTGAACCAGGTAATTGCGTTGCCGGAGTTCAATTATTTTGGAGGTTTCTTTTTTAGTCCTAAACAAAGTTTTTCTAGCTGTAATTCAAGGCCTAGCGAAGTTCTGCGACAAGCTTCCAGTGGTGAAAATTCGAGTGATATTGCGCCTGAAAGGTTAGTGCCATGATGCAGTAGAATTCTTTCTGCGCTTTCACTGAGTTAGGATTTCTTCTCTATTTACAAGATTTACCCAAAGCGCACTCGCATATGACTTTGCGCACATCTGTTTACATTACGATTACACCAATTATAGTCAAGGCTCCGCATTCCTGCAGAGGGGACTTACTTCAAGACGAGTTGTTGGTTGAGAGACTGCCAATCGGTGTAATCCACAACAAGGGAGATGTTGTTACTGGGAAGTACACTATCATTGGACTATTTGGGCAGGGTGCCATGGGTGTTACGTTTGAAGCCGAAAGAAGCGATGGTGAGGTTGTAGCGTTGAAAGCCATGTCTTTACGAAATATGAAGGGATGGAAGGTTAGCTTTGAATATGCCCTTACTATGCTCGTCTCAGTGTGATTAGACGCTCCTCATGTTCATGTTCATGTTCATGTTCAATTTCATGTTTAGCATTGAAACAGAGTTCTCAACGTTGTTCTTTGCTGTAGGAACTTGATCTTTTCGAAAGAGAGGCAAGAGTGCTCAAGTCGTTAAACCATCCTGGTATTCCAGCCTACATCGATTATTTTCAGGTTTACTCTGCTGCAAGTCTATTGCACGACTTCAACAAGAATTGGGATTGTCCACTTTAGTACCATAAGCCTGTTACTGATGCCATAGCTGAGTTTAGGAGCAAAGGTTTAAAAACCTGTATCACTTGAGAATCTATCTTTTGCGGGTTCAAAGTCACATGCCTTAGTTTGCGAGGTGTTTTTCCTGTGCTGTAAGCAAGACATATGTTGCCATTAACACGTCATTTTGTTGTGGATCATCTGTTATAGGTGGACACAAAAGACGATCGTATCTTCTATATAGCACAAAGAGCAGCAAAAGGGAAGTCTCTGGAAGATCTGATTACAGGTGGATGGCGTGTCTCTGAGGAAAAAGTAAAAGACATCGCAATAGAGGTGAAGAATAAATTCTGCCTAACAGTTTGTTGCAAGCTTCTGAATGTTATGCCCACCGTATTTTTACGCTTTTATTCCCAGAACACATCGTCGACAATGAGAGGGAAATGTTGAACACGTTTAGTTTGTGAAAAGTCGGCGTAGTGTTCTCTCTTGGAAAGTGAGAATATCACCTTTTATTCATTAATTCAGAATTTTGTTGATGTGTGAAAGACAGGTCTTGTCCGTGTTACAGTATCTTGGAGATTTGCGACCTCCTGTTATCCACAGAGACATTAAGGTAATCGCGTGGTACGTATATATTGTACGTATTGTCTTATTGGTGCTCACAAGCATTGTGTATAACAATTCAATGCGGCTGACGTAGTTAAGTTCTGATTTGTTGGTTCTCGTATGTTGTTATGTCTGCGATGCATATGTTGATCTTGCAATTCATTGTGCACAGCCAGAAAACATTATTTTGGATAAAGAGACGGGGGATGTGAAGGTTGTGGATTTTGGGGCAGTTCAAGATGTCGCGTCCTCAACGCTGATTGGCAGCACAGTCGTGGGCACGGTGCGGTTTTCTTGCTCTGAATGAGGTCTCCATCTTCCTCTTTCCTTGTAATGCTATGTGGTGCATATAATTATTTGTCTTTTTGCCTATATATAAACGTGAGCGATCTGGAAGCAGTACTTTCTCCTTGAGTTCAACCAAACTATCTTATACTTAAGGGTTCCACAATGCTGGATCCTGTGATGAAATTACCTCTGCTTTATGTACCTGAATTTAGCAATCGGCAGTAATAGCGCACCAATCTGGAAATATGGTTAATGTTTCAATATACCCTAGGAACATCCCTCTAAGTTGGTCATGTTCATGATATAAAGCTTTGAAAGTTTATAGTTGACACTTTGCTGCACAGTATGGCTACATGGCCCCGGAGCAGTTTCAGAACAGAGCGACACTTCAGACGGACCTATACGGGCTGGGTGGTACAATGCTGTACATGCTTTCTGGACGTCCTCCGTCATACTTTCCTCAGGTCTGTAACTTTTGATTTTGTTCAACGAGGTAGCAAATATGTCTCATTCATTCCAAGCCCTAATATACTTACATACGGTACTGTCAAGAGCCTTTTCTCACAAAGAAGACCGGATTGCAAGACAGAGGCGTTTAAAAGTGGTATTTCGTGATCTCGTGACCATGAGTCCCGAGCTTGCCAATGTTATCGATCGGCTTCTGGAGCCTGCGCCGGAAGACCGGTTTCAGGTACTTCCTTGTACTTAACATCTAATATTGTGTCATCAACTCTTTGATAATTATATCCTTTAGTTCACACTCATAGCAGATTAGCTAGCTAGTGTACTTGCGATCTGATAGGTAAGGAACTAAGCTTCAGATAGATTGTTGTTGAGGTGCTACTCCTAATTATGTTCGACAGTTTGGGATTCCTGCCAGTCTCGCACTTATGCTTAATGTAAGGGATGAATTTCTCGACGTCTTATTTGATTGCAACTTAAACATGTTACACTTGTTTTGTGAAGTCTGCTGGACAGGTGATTCAAGCTCTTCAAGAAGAAAGTCGTGAGTCGTACTTGGTATCTCCCGGTTTGAGCAATAACTCAGCTCGATATGTTCAACAGACAAGTGCTGTTCGGAGACCGGCAGGAGCGCAAGTGGTGAGCAACTTACAAATATTATGCTCCTATCTGGCTTTGGTGGAGCATGTTTCACTCCTACCAGTTAAATCGTGACTACCTTCACGATTGTATAGAGATAAAGTTTTATTAAACAAACTGGATTTACCTCTCAACCGAACCTTTTTCAGATAATACCACGTTTAGTGTCCAGAAATATGTAAGCCTCGTAATGGCTCACTAGTCATTTGAAATGCAGGAACTGAAAAGGAGCTCAAACATGCTGGAGGTAGCGATCCCAGCACATGGACTAACACAAGAGACAGCAGAGAGCGGCGCGTTTACTGTGGTAATTCGTAAATTATATCTAAACTTGGTGTTAATTCTATTGGTGTTCATTTCTGAATGTTTCTTTTCCAAATATCTTTTTACATTAAAATGAGTGCTCCCTTGCATATCGTTACACGTAGTTTCTACTCCACCTCGCACTTTTGTATAGCATGAGGATTATGTGCCAGGCATGGAATGCATTCGTGGCTGTCTGGACGCGTTCAGCCATGGCAGGAGGCGGTCCAGTCTTTGCCGCCTTTTCTCTCCCTTTCTGGTTTGTTGGTCTTAGGTAAGTTACAAATCTTCCCCCATTCATCTGTTCTTCAGGCTTCATATTGAAATCTTTCATACAATGCTTGTATCAACTCCCTATGCTCTGGTTTGTGGCTCAAGAGGCTTTCGGTGGGCTCACGTTCACTTCAAAAATCAGGTGAAAATGATGCAGTTACATTTCAGGATTTAAAGCTTTTAATGTTGCTTCGCAGGCTCGCTAAGAGAACTCTCTTCAGCACAGCAGTCGCCATTAAGTTGGAGTTTGATGGTCCAAATTTTTCTATCGAGTGGAGCATCGGTACAATGTGGAAGCATAAAGTTGTTGGGGAAACTAAAAATTTACGTTCAATTGACGTCGTGGAGGAAAAAGTGCAGGTATGGGCTCATTACTCTGTTATCTATGCATGGCTTCATGATAGTGCAAGTCCCTGAAGCTGGCCTGGCGTTTTAGCATAGTATGCAAACCCTTGTCTGTCTAATTTTACTGCATCTGTTCATTTGTTTTTCACAATCTACTGCAGGATCCTGATCAGGGGTATAGCAAACGTCTGGCCACATCGTTGGTCTTGTATGAAGGTTCAAATAAACATGAATTTGGATCTGGACTACAACCAGAGGAGCTAGAATGGCTTCTGGCAGAAATCAAGTCGCACTTACAACTTCCTAGTTAACCTCTCAGTTTGTGCAGTACTTACTGTATTCATTGAAAAGAAAATTCCCAAAAGGGATTATTGAGGTTTCATCTTCGATGGAGTGCATGTCCACTCGGGTTCTATCGTATCATATCCATCATTGTCTCAAATGCAGCCTTTGTATAGCAGAAGTGAAACTACTGCATTATTACCGGAACGCACTGTGGTAACCACATCACCTACCTGCATTTGTCATTTGTATGTATGAAGATGTGTATTTGTATATATGTATGGATATGTATATATACATCTTGAAAAAAAAAACATATATATATATATATATATATTTATTTAGCGCAGAAATTGTTTGAAAATGTGATGAAATTATTGTGGGTGGCAAAAGATACACTCTGAAGGTTTCCATTGGGTAAGCAAGAAATGAATCATTTATAAAGTTTGGAGTTATTGGAATCAATGCAAAAAACAAAAATATTGATAAATTAAAATTCGGAAATCTATTTGGTATCAAATCAGAAACTTATTTCGTATCGACCGTGCCATTATTGTGATTAAGATCAAGGGGCCGATAAGGCTTAAGAGTCATGGTTTAAGTGATGAGGTCTTAAAGAATCTATATCACTTGGATCCTTATATATTGTGTCTGCAAAAATCACGCCAAAAAATGACAAGCAGAGTCTCAATATTGCATTTCAGTTGATTGAAAATCTTGTGCAGTAATTAAACATTGTATACTTAGATCCTTTCAAGTACTAATATTTTGCTCACAGAAAAAGTGGGTCCAATTTTTAAGTCTGACCTGAAAGAAATTATATTTTGGTGTAAAATTGTAGAACTTCACATATTAGAACTCAGTTGCAAATAATACTTGAAGAATGAAATACAAAAGCCTAAATGTGTTGATGTATTGTTCTAACACGTCAGCATACGTTGCATTTTTCATCTTATTAATGAATGCAAACCATGTTTAATATTTCTAAATAAAACGACCAATGTTTTTTTTTTTCTTCTTCTTTAAAACTGGATTGTTGCACTTTTAATATGTATAGAAATCAGTTAAAACAAATTTAAAGAGAAAAATACTCAACTGAAGAAACACCTTATGTGCACTAAATTATAGAAAAGATAAAATCTCTAAAACTTAACAGGTTAAAAGTGAAGAAAAAAAGTTTCAAACTAAAATATTGAACATAAATTTCAATAATGAGAAGAGGTCTCAACAATAGTCATATTCTTCAATCCTAATTTTCATTTGAAATCAATGAAAAACATTCAAAGATTGATTTAGTTGTCTACAATGGTTTTTTCAATTACAAACAAATAATTTTTTTGGAGATTTAATTTAAGGGTAAATAATATTTTGGACTTAATAGAAACGTACAAAGTTTGTAATGACACTATAGTGGTCAAATAAATACTGTAATTTAAGGGAACAAAAAAAATAAAAAAGAAAGAAAGAAAAACAACATCGACAACATTAGATATAAACAATAAAATACTTTGATGACAAGAGTATAATGCATATTGGATTCTTTCTCTGAGTGCAATACAATTATATCAAAAACAATAATTTCGTGATAAGTGTTAGAAATGTCTTCAGTTTGTAAAAGAATATTATTTGTGGATCAATATTTGGTGTAAAAAATACCTTTAGAAGTCTCCAAACGAAAAATAAAAGATTCTTCCAAAGGTCTGCATGGAGTGCAATGGAAGATTCTTTTAAAATTAATTAATTTATTTATTATTCTATATATATATATATTTTCTTAAACAAGTCAACCATGCTTCAAAATTACAACCATTCCTCCAGCCCATTGCAAAATTCACAAATTCTGTCCTTTTTCAATACAATTGAACAAAAACAACCGACAGCCATTCTCATCAACTCTATTATTAACAAGAAGCCAACCATATTCTCAAAAACATCATCATCTCCAAATCCACATATATCTGAGTGTATATATATATATATAAAGTAAACAACTAAAAACTGCACTCATACAACACACACACACACAATGCTACTTCCATGCAACTCTCTTTATATAAATGTATATATATACACACACAAAGGGAGAGGCAGGAATCTTCACAGAGAATGTTAAAAGGGGGGATAGGGGAAGAAGAAGAAGAAGAAGAAGAAGAATGGTGAGTTGGGTTCTAAGGGTTGGATTACCGAGTTATGCATGCATGTGCTGTTATGGTGAAATGGGGGTGAGTGAGGGGGGATAATAATAATAATAATAATATATACATATATCTATACCTATATACATATATATATATATATAAAGTTTATTTTTGGGTGCTTGCTTGCTGGTGCTGAGGAAAGGAAAGGGAGTCAAGACCGAGAGAGCAACGAGAGAAAGACGGAGAGGGGGAGAGAGAGCGTGGGGAATGGTGTTAGTTTGTTGTTTATTATTTGTGTTGTCTGTTTGAGTTGTGCTACTGTGTGGTTTTGTTGTTGTTGGTTGTTCCAGGTTTGGGTTTGGGTTTGTTCCGTCTTGGTTGGGGCTTCCGGAGCTTCAACCCTCTCTCTCTCTCTCGTTGTGTTGTGTTGTGTTGTTCTGTCTCTCTACTCCTCCGTTGTCGCTGCTCGCTTCGCCCCGCCCTTGCAATCTCTTCCCACACTCACTCACTCACTCACTCTTGTTGGCTGGCTGGCTGGATTGCCTGCTTGCTTTCTGCATTCATTCCTCCTCTTCCTCCTCTTCATTCCTCTTCCCAAGTCGTGCTTTGTCTGTTTTAGTCCTGTGTCTTTGTGCGGAGGAGGAGGAGGAGCTTCTTTGCTGTTTGCTGGGCGACGAGAGGAACAAGGTTTCGCGGGGCTTCCCAGGGCGATGGCGTCCTCCAGCTACGCCATCAAGGAGGAAGATCACGAGGTGCGCTGCTTTCGGAACCCAACCAACGCCTCCTCGTCCTCTCTCTCTGTTCCCGTCTGCTGCTGCTGTGCTGTGTGTGTTTTGGAAGGGCCGCGGTGCTTTGCTGCTTTAGACCAGCCTGCTGCTGCTGGGGATTTGGGTTTCATGGGGTTGGGCTTCGGGGAATTGTGCGCACGCGGCGGATGCTTCGTCTGATAGCTTGCGTTCGCAGAATCGAGATCGGTCAATTTCATGTGCATTTTCTGTCGTGTTTTTGTGAGGAGTGAAGTGTTGTTTCGCGGTGGGGAGTCTGGGTAACTTGAGATGGTTCAGGGGACGAAAGGAATATCGATTGTAGTGTGACAGCGGCGAGTTTGTGATCACTCGCGGAATTTAATTTCTGCGATTAAAGGCTGAGTTCGTGAAGGCTGAGGAATGTTTATGAGAGCTGGAAGTTGTGCAATGGTTGCAAAATAGATGGAAATATTAGCTTGCGCTTTCTTGAGCGACTCTAGGATATGTGGGAGGGCAACATAGTAGCTCGTGGTGGACCTTCTGAGCCAGAAAAAAAATTGAATAAAAATCAAACAGAACAAACCTTAAAATATTATATTTCGAAAAATGTCCACAAAGTTAAGGTTTTGGTTTTTTTTTTAAGGATTTTGTTTGGATTATGTTAATTGTTTTGTTTGTTATATATTTTTTGCGTTAACGTCAATAAGGAGAGTCTCAGCATTGTAGGAGGTGTAATTGCTCAGATTGCCTAGTCTCATTTCATGGACTTTTGAAAGCGTATTCCCAGCGTGTGATATTAATTTTTTTCCCCTATTCTGGACGAGTTTGGATGACCATGGATAATTGAGTTACAGATAATAGGTTTAGTTGTAGTCGTCTGAAGCTATGTGATCCTTGCCGAAATCTACGTGGGTGCTGTTTTGCATCTGTTGAACGAGAATCACTGAGCTGTGTGTCCCAATCATGAACTGTTTGACTCAACGTGTGCGCATTCGCTACCCTTGTTGATTAGGATTATGAGGAGGAAGAAGATGATGAAGACGCGGCTGGAGAGACGGTTGCAATTGCCCTTCAGGGTTTTATGGAGCAAGTGCAATGTGAACGGCAAGCATATGTAAAGGTAACTCCTTCAGCAGTTTCAGACTTGAAGTTGAACATGCGTCGATCTTGTTGGTGAATAGTCGTGATCCTGCACCACCGTTGGTTATTTTGCAAATGCTCAGAATCCTTCACTTTAGGTTTTGGTCTCATGTAGACTTTGAATGCAGTTGATATACGTTCATTAAGCCGACAAGAAAAGTCTTCAAAGACTACGCTGCAATGTGCTTTAGTTGCATTTGAAGCCTAGTCAATGACTAATAATCAGCTGCTGGGGTTCTCGATATTGGTAGCAATACCTTTGGTGGATGTATCGAAGACTGCTGAATCAAATTTGATGAATCATACGATATATTTTCTCGTGGGAGATTCACATGTCAGAAATTTTTGGAATTGGTAGTGAACTGCAGATAGGAAAGAGAACTGGTGAAGTGCCTAGTATCTGGTTGACATTGCTGATTGATGATGATGCAGCGACGCATGAATTCGAACAAGGAGCGGTTGAAGGGCTACACATGGAATCTTTTGAAACTGGACCAGGAGCGCAAGTCGGTATGGGAAAGGAGAGAAGTGTCGAGCTTCTCCTCACTTTGTCAAAAAAAACATCAAGCTTACGGCAACTTGAATGGCTCAGATTCCTCCGGAGAGAAAGATGGCAGATTAGCTACCCAGGAATCGGGTGGTTTAGACAAGCCAATATCCATTATTTTTGGATGTCAAACGGGCGGAAAGACAGCCATTCGGCCAGTGAAGCTACGCAAAGTTGAGAATGTGCCACCGTACACAACATGGATCTATTTAGATAGGTTACATAGCAACTCCAACTTCCATGATTTTTTGCACATTGCTAGGGCCACAGTGTTCTGGATATTGCAGATCCATAATTTTAATATCGAATGGCGTGTACATTGTATGCAGTTTCAATCTGTGACTGTTCCCTTTTGTAAATACGAATTTCTGGTTGTTTTTGGTTGCTTCTCTGCAGCTGTTGTTCAGTTTGATTGAAGTTAGAGATGGCTGGTGGTCTGGCATGGTAGGAACCAACGCATGACAGAAGATCAATCTGTAGTGGGCCGACGTCGGATCTACTATGATAGTGATGGCAATGAAACTCTAATCGCCAGTGATAGTGAAGAAGAAGATCCTGGGGATGATGATGACAAAGACGAACCTAAGCACGACTTCAGCAAGGGTGAAGACACCTTAATCTGGTAACTCGCATCTACTGATGCTCAAGATTGTTTTGTAACTACTCTTAATCGTGTCTTGTAGTTGTAATGATCTTGTCACTACGTGTCCTTTAGAATTTTCGGATACTGAGCAGTATTCAGCGAAATGATAGTACTTTCATTGAAGTTGTGCACCTGTCGAAATGCGCAATAAGAATTCAAGAGCTCATAGCCTCACATGCACGTTCATAGGATGTCAATTATCCGGAACTTGGTAAACTTTGCCCTCTGGATCCCAGCGGGACTAAATTTGGCGGATACTGGTTGAATATTGTAAGGCCACTTAAATGATGTAGGAATGAGGTATCTTGTACCTTGGTTCTGAGGCCTAATCATATTTTGCGAATAGGATGTCCATCCAGGAGCTTGGATTGAAGTCGGTGGTTTTGAATGAGCTCTCCGATGTCCTTGACATAAAACCAGAAGAAATCGAGGTATGATAATACCATACATCAGTTACTCACCTCGCGTCACGAGGTTGTTGAGTGCGGTAAAGGAGTCCAGTACTAATCCCCAGGACTTTGGTTTGATTATTGGACATACATTATATATTATCTACAAAACGTCTTTCAAACGTAGCTTGGAGGACGTGGAGAATTTGTGTTCGTTCATAATTAATAGATATATTTTTTCAGTAGTAACTGAACACAAAATCCACTTTTCTTCCTTCCAGGCAAGGTATGACATCCTGTTAAAAGATTTTGCTAAGAATGGTGGGAGTGAGATGCTGCTGCCAACTGCTGTAGGGACTACCCGTGATAAAGAATTTACTAGAGGAACTTTTCAAGAGTTTTCATTGTTCAACTCTGGAAAGGAAGCTGTGAAGGAAGAAAATGAACTTCCAGACACGCAAGAGGATGATGACAATGAAACGAAAGACCTCCTGGCTGCTATGGATTCTTTTGACACTCTGTTTTGCAGGCGCTGTTTGGTACCAACTCAACATCTTTGTCTTCTCCAATCAACTCAATTTCCACAGAATTGTACCTCAAAATGTGTGCAAAATGCAGTCGAACCTTAGTGCCAAATCTGCACTGATCTCAGTGGCTCAAAACTAATAATAATAATAATAATAATAATAATTCTTATTTTTGCAGGTATTTGACTGCCGATTACATGGATGCTCCCAAGCTATAGTCCATCCAGTAAGTCACATGTCAATGTCCTGCTCTGTTCTTTTTGCGTCATGTTCATGATTCTATCACTATTATGTAAATCCCACGATAATTTGGAAGGGGACATGGATTTCACTTCAAGTGGAGGCTTTGCACGTTTCAGCATCTCATGCGTACTTTATGCTACTGAGCACCTACGATTCTAGCATCCGGCAGTAAATTGCATTTTTTGGTGCCCGACAGAGTGAAAGGCAACAACCATGGAGTGGCACAGAAGAAGACCCTAGTCCTTGCAGCAAAGATTGTTATTTGTTGGTAAGTGCGATTTCTCCTTTCTAGTGATTTGATCGGCTTTATATCTTTCGACTCTGTTCAATCTTACTAATCCTGACGAGAGTTATTGGTTTCACATGGTTGTTGCAACTTTTTTTTAAGGTTCTATCCTCGTTTGAAAATTGCACAGCTAATGATGCACAATGTACTGCATATTGACCTTAGATTTTTATGTTAATCTTTTCTCGAGGTTCAGAGAGGGTGTGTTTGTGTTGGCAGACTGATCCAAACTACGTGACAAAGACCAGATTACGTCCTGAAGTTCCCCCCCGAGGAGATGTTGATGCAGGACTTAGAGATGTTTCACAGAGTCCCGAGCAGGGCCAAACCGCTACCAACGGTCAAGAAGATGATGTGGGTGTCTCAGAAAGATTTTCCAAGAGGTCGGGGATGTCCAGCAGAGAAAGGTCAAGTTCCTCAGAGACTCAGGCATGGGCTGCACCGACAATACTTGATCCAGGAGCGACCCAACCGGTAGGTCGCACCGGTAGCTGGTCTAAAGTAGGCTCAAAAGAGAAGAAATCAGAAAAACGCCCGAGTGCCACACGCAGGTCACTCCGTGTGAGACGTAATTGCCCACAAGAAGATACTTCCGCTCTCTTAAAGCCACAGTTAAGCCAGGAAGAATCTGTTATCTCTCTCGACAGCGATAGCCAGGACTTTCCTAAAGAAGAGTCACCCTCTTTAAAGGTAATCCAGTATCTCGAAATCCACTCACATCTGCTTTTATTTGGTGGACCTTTTAATGTGGCCTATTATTGTGTTTAGAAGTTGTCATGTTTATTGTGTTGAAGAGTTTTATTTTCACGAATCGAATGCTCGTGCTTTATTTCTTTTTATTTTATTTCATTTTATTTCATTTTTTAAATGATTTGACTTTAGTTTCTTTTGAAGGCTCGAATGCTATGACCGAAACGTGTATCTCTCATGCAACAGGGGGAAGGAAGCTCCTACCAGGATGAGGCTTTCAAGGTGAAAAAGGCCCGTCAAGGCGTGTTGCCTTCAAAGAGGAAGAAGGATGTTGAGAAGGATGGTGAGGTTGAGAAAGACGATGATATGGAGAAAGATGATGATGTGGACAAGGACGAAGATAGGGACAAGGATGATGATATGGATAAAGATGATCTAGAGAAGGATGATGATCTTGAGAAAGACGATGATACGTCGCGAGAAGGTGAAGCTGATGAGAAGATTGCTGTAGCATCTGCACCTGAGGGTTTTGCTTTCAAAGAGGGGCAAGATGAAGCTCCAGGTCAAGCAGTCAAAGTAGAAGTAGGTGTTGGGTGGACTGAGATGGAGAAGGGTTTGTATGAGAAGGGTTTGCAGATTTTTGGCAGAAACAGGTATTACATAAACGACATTTCCTAATAGTTATGGTGTAGGAATGCCTTTGGATTGAAGATTTTTCTTCAGAGTGATAACTCAGGCAACTGGTCCTCCCCCTTCTAACTTGAAACGTGTTATGGCTGATGTCAAGTTTTTAGTGTTGCATACCAGATCCCTTCTCTTCTCGTAAATAAACTAAAATAGGGATGTTGTTATCACAGTTGCTTGGTATCGCGAAACCTTCTTCAAGGCTGCAAGACGTGTGCAGAGGTGGCCAAGTACGCAATGGAACTAGATGCTGCTGGACTTGGTGGTGTCCGACGGATTGCTGACAGTTTGGTATGAGTGGGCACTTTCTATTTAACTACGTTCCGTCTTTTGCATGATTGCTGAACTGTTGAAGCGGTTTGTCTTCTGTAATTTATCTCTCTCGACAACTATAGGTCATTACAAGTTGAAGAGGACAACACACTGAGAAATATGTTCTATATAATCCTACATCAACTTAGTTCTTGTGAATGCGGCCATCAATTCGTATCTGTTGTGAACACCTCTCCTGGCTACTAACACACTGGATCCTGCGTCAAATCGTATTCTGTGCAGGATACAGAGGCAGCAAGCAGAGCACGATTGTATGGTGTTCGGCGCAAAAAGAATATGCGCAAGCTTAAGTATACATTTAAGTCTGTAGTGCATCCACTTATACGGAAAAGGTTGGCTAACGGGAAGGATCAAACGTGTCGGCAATACACACCTTGCAACTGCCTCTACACTTGTGGGAAGCAATGTCCGTGCCTACTTAATGGTACCTGCTGTGAAAAATACTGTGGGTGAGTGATTCTTACAAAAGTCCAACTTTTACTATAATGTCTCCTGCATCGAAGCCCTTGGGGAGGTTGCTAGCTTTTCCCTTATCATGTGACAATGGTCACCATGCAGGTGCTCCAAGAGCTGCAAGAATCGGTTCCGGGGCTGCCATTGTGCAAAGAGTAATTGCTGTAGTCGGCAATGCCCGTGTTTCGCTGCAGGGCGCGAGTGTGACCCTGATGTCTGCAGAAATTGCTGGGTTGGGTAAGCTACGATCATTCTCCTTGGTCATATCCTAGTCAGTTATGGGATCGTTGAAACTCAACCGGACTTGGGTTTTTGCGATTTTGCAGTTCATGCTTAGCCCTCATCAGTTGCTTGACGTAGAGATGGCGATTGGCTTCTATGGAAATTGATAAATGATTGATGCTTCTTTATAAAGTTCTTCAAATTTGGTTGTGTTTTCTCAGTTGCGGAGAAAAACATGTAAAGCCGGCAGTGGAGTACACATGCCATAATATGAAGCTCATGCTGAAGCAGCAGCAGCGGGTGAGAGGTCCTTCCCACTAGTAGCGAGCAAGTATAGGTCCTTGTTTTAAGACCAGCGCATTCGATGTAGCACGATTCCTCCCCATTACGTTTTTTGAATATGTTGTGCTTTTTTATTGTTCTCAAATTTATTTCGTATCACTTAGAGCTTCGGAGCAAAGAACCCGATTATTCATTGCTCGCATGATTTTGTGGTGGCAGGTGTTACTGGGCAGGTCAGATGTGGCAGGCTGGGGTGCATTCCTGAAGGTAAGGCTAGTTTCCACTTCAACGCTCCTAACCAGATTGCGATGAGTATTTTAAGAACAGGATCAAGCCGTGTTTCTTCAGTTAGCAAACGCTCTAATATTTGTGTATTACAAACTTGCAGAAAACGGTTGCCAAGCATGAATACCTCGGAGAGTATACTGGTGAACTCATCTCCCATCGAGAGGCCGATAAACGAGGGAAAATTTACGACAGGGAGAATTCGTCGTTCCTCTTCAATCTAAATGATCAGGCAAGCCTCGTATTGGTCTCTTTTGGCTTGTTTATCGCATATGATCATGCTAGTCTGGAAATTCATGTGGAGGTTAATGACAATTCTATGCTTTCTTCAGTATGTGCTGGACGCATGTCGAAAGGGCGACAAGCTCAAATTTGCGAACCATTCACCTACTCCCAACTGCTATGCCAAGGTAATTCATACTCTTTTCTCGAATAATTTTCATGTCAGTTGGAGAAATTTCTGTGGTGTTAGCTCGACAGGTTGACTGCCCACCCTATTACTTCGACGAGAGTCGTCTCTTCTGCAATTGTGCAGAGTCGATGTAAACGATTGGTAAAAATTCTCTAGTTATACTGAGATGTGTCAGTAATCATAAGTTTGCAAATGTTTGAGGTCCACGTTCAAGACAGCAAACTCTACTAGCGATTCTCTTAACAAAATGGTGTCGCACTGTGGTCAAGATCGTAGTGCTGTAGGCTTCACCTGAAAATTATGGCTGTCTGCTATGCAACAGGTTATTATGGTTTCCGGAGACCATAGGGTAGGGATTTTCGCTAAAGAACGAATTGGAGCTGGGGAAGAACTATTCTATGACTACCAATACGAGCCTGATAGAGCGCCCGTATGGGCAAGAAAACCTGATGATCCTAACAACAAGAGGGATGATATGCCAAGTACCGGTGGACGAGCACAGAAAGTTGCTTAAGTGGCTCATTTACTGTTGCAGTTCAGGTCTCGCGGAGGTATTTTGCATCAGTCAAGGTATTGGCGATCCCACTCTTGCCATTCGAAGGAGGCAATCCCTCAATCTGTGACCTATTTTATGCAACTTTGTACTCGAATTGGCGGTTACTATCTGGTTTAGAGGTTACCAGCACGACGATTGGCAATTGTGTGAAGATTAGTGCTTGATACTAATTTATATCCAGACAGGCACAAGAGGTGCGATGCGCCCTGTCCAATGTGTCGTCAGGACATTTTGGTTGACCACGGGAACAAACTCCCTTTACTCGGGTCCCGTATACTTCGTAGGAGACGCCCAGTGTAGTTGGACCTCATTTTGTAGTTCAGAATCACAAGTACGATGACATTCTTAAGATTGAGGAGAATCACCACATTCATTCTAATTTTTCAGTCCATTATTTCGTTTCTATTTCTCGCTCTTCGTATTTTTGGTTTGGGTTTTCGATGCCATCTTCACGTGTATCCGGCGACCAGTCGCACGCACACGCTGCACTAATCTCGATCGCAGTATTTGCCATTGCCGCAACGGGTATCTGTGAAAGCCCTACCGCTCTTTAATGCGGCTACCGTCAACGCTGCCGCTTCTGCCGAGCGTCTTTTCTTCTACTGTCATAAGAAGTCTCGTTCATTCGCATAACATCCAGTAAACAACAAACTAATTCTGCCTTTGAATTATGGTATGAAATATTTTTCATAAAATTGGACAAAGAATTGGCACATTTCTTTGTTGGATTTATTTGAAGTTGATGGTAGTTGTAACAACATTCGCATGTAAAACCACCATGTCCAAAACAGTGGCTACTATTGAGCTTTAGGTGTTATGTTCACAAACTTGTTAATGTAAACTTTTAGATTTTTGCTGATTTCATGATGCTTCTTCACAACTTTGATCTCTATACTTTTATGTACACTTACACATATACACACTTATTTATGTTAAAGATTTTCCCGTCTTCTGTTTTCGAAGCGTCTAGAAGAGCAACAAGCATTCAACAACGGTATTAAAGGATTCGTTGAATGACGTATTCAGAGGATTTTCCATTCGTTTTTCTGTTCATGTGTTGTTTTTTGAGCATCGTCGCAGCCGTTGCATAAAGCAAACTAGGGCAAACACACCCCCCTACTCCAACTCCACAGCCTCCTAGAGCGTTTGCAACTGCGCTATGTGCCCTGCGATGGCGTATCACGGCTGCAATGCTTCCTGCCTGGGATCGTTCGCGCCATAATGATGAATAATCCACAAAGAAATTCGAGTGTCGTAGCTCTCATTCGGCGGGCTTAACAAGCGTCGCACTGTTTTCCGATCTTTGTTGGCTCCGACAATCGCAACGATTACCGGTGCTGCTTGAACTCCATGGCTTCAGTGTGCGGTCCAGATTACCGATTGGGACTCGAAGCTGTGCGGAGGCGCTGTGTTAACCTTTGGTGAATTTTTCCATTCCGCGTGTAATCGGAGGCGATAAAAAGTGCAGACTCCGTGTTCTTTTGCTAAAATTGCGAAGAGCAGTGGTTTTTTTCGGATGGAGTGTTGTCGAAACTCCTCCATAGACGCTGATGTGGCGGTGTGTTGTCAGATTGCCGTTGCCAACCCCCCGACGAACCTCGCAAACGTACAGTCGACTCTGTTACAGCTTCTGCCCTGCCGCCCTACGCGTCGCATGCTTCGACGTGCTACTCATTTGCTCTGGTCCTCGCCCTCAAAGCTCCTTGGTATGCGTGAGGCGCGGCATTGTTGAGAAGCTGAGTATGGCTCGTAAGGGAGAGGCTAGAGTGAGCTGCGTAATTCAAGGGCACTGGTGAGGTGTAGATTTTAGCAGGATGTGGGGATTGTTCTGCTTGAGCGACGAGACTAACGGGAGTTGCACGTTGCGAGTGAGATTCAGGGGTGTTGCGTGCGACGAGTATAGTGGAGTATCTCATGAATTACTTCTTCCTTTTCTGCATATGCTTCCTGCCGCTGCTCTCCTTTCGATGGGGGCGCGTGGCCGAGGTCCCGACCAAGCCAGAGGTAGCGACGCCTTCGACTAGAAGCGGCACGAAGCCCGTCAATGCTCCGTCACCGAGCATAGTGGCGCGCCTGGTGAGCTCGTTGCGGAAGCCCCCGTCTCCGCCATCGCCAGTGAGGTCGATTTTCCAGCAGCCACTGTCCTCGATTGTTTTCTCGACTCGTGGAACCAAGGCGCCATCTCCGCCCCCGCCGTCGACCTGGTTCTCGCCGCCAGCTCGGCGACAGAAGCCGCCACCCGCGGAGAGTAAGCCCAGGCCATCGCCAATGCCGACCTTTCTGACGCCTCCATTCACTCGACCGCCGTCGCGGGCGATGCCAAATGTGGTGGCGCAAGCAGGCGCAGACGAGGTTGTGACGATGACAGCCTTCTTAGGCACCGAAGGCTCAAATGTAGGTGTGGATTTGGTGGTACTCATGACGCACCTACAGACTGCGTGCAAGCACATCTCCTCTATTCTGGCCTCGCCGACTGAGCTTCAGGCCACCTTGAAGGGTGCGGATTCTGTCCATGGCGTGGGGCGCGATGCGCGCAAGCCGTTGGACTTGGTTTCGGTGGGTCTTCACGATCCATCTTTTGTTTCTTATACGTTCGTAAACCTTTTATTCTAGTCCTCGAATTGCCTGCTTAGGTTCACTTGAGGGGAAGGAAGTTTGTCGTTTGGCTGTCATGTGTCATAAAGCTCGTAGCCCCTACTGCTTTTTGAAGTAGCCGACCTCTCCTTCTTTCAACAAATCTCGTCCTTATGGATTGCACGACGTGTTTGAGTAATTAGTGCAGGTAGATGTAGTGGCTCGAACCATATTGGTATCTTTCAGCGTATCTTCAATTAAGACTGGCTTTGACTCTGTATAGTCTGGTCCTAATATCAAGAATTTGTCTCGTAGGACGTGGGCTGAATTTGTCGGTCATCGTTTACCACATTTCCTTCAATCTTCTTTATATCTTCACATATCTGATGTAGCTCACACATTGCTGGCAGGCAGAACAACATAATTAAGGCGGCTCTGCGAAGCTCAGGGAAAGTGGCCGCCATAGCTTCCGAAAAGGACGATAGGCCTGTGTGGTTAGGGGGAGGCCCTTACGTCGTCGTGTTCGACCCTCTCGATGGCTCTCGCAACCTCGACGCAACTGTACCTACTGGCACCATCTTCGGAATCTACAGGCGGTTACCAGAAGCTGACCACCTGCCCACGGATGAGAAAGCTTTCGCAAATGTGATGCAAAGGGGGGAGCGGCTGGTCGCTGCCGGATATGTATTGTATTCCTCCTCCACCATCATGGCCATCTCAGTTGGCTCAGGCTTACATGGATTCACTCTGGATTACACCATTGGAGAGTTTGCTTACAGCCACCACGACATACGCATCCCTGAACGAGGTGCGCCCCTTTCTTGTTCCTTCGCATGCATAGATCATGATTTTCTTGTGACACGAACTCACACACTGCTTTTTACTCTTTATTTGCAGGCCAGATATACTCTGTCAATGAAGCTAAGTACTTCGCCTGGCCAGTGGGCTTGCGAAGATACATTGACAACGTCCGACAAGGTAAGGGCCAGACACGTAAACAATATTCAGCCCGCTTCATTGGCTCGTTCGTGGCCGATCTCCACCGTACCATCATGTATGGAGGCATTGCAATGAACCCGAGGTCGCATTCCCGGCTTTTGTACGAGGCTAACCCCCTCAGCTACCTTGTGGAACAAGCTGGGGGCCGTGGTACCGATGGGAAGCGGCGGATTCTGGAGATCAATCCCATCGAGATCCATCAGAAATTACCCCTTTTTCTCGGCAGTGCTGCAGATGTTGCTGAACTCGTTAGCTTCGGAGACATCCAGCAGCAGACAAGTCCTGAAGTGCACACATTCTAGTCTATTGCTGATTTTCGGTCCAGAACTTGTAGCAAAATTTTACTTCCGATTCTAGGTCTGCTAGAGGATATGCCTTAAACTTCACAATTCTAATGTTGAGTGATCCCTATTTTTTATTTTTTGTTCTCTCAAATAAGGTTATGATCTAAGATATTATCGCAGATGCCAGTCTTTTATTGTAGAGTTGACTGGTGATGGCATCCCTATTGGCGGCGCTAAGGTTAATAGAGCGACTTGAGAAGAAGAGTGTTTTGAGGGGTGGTTTAGTCTGTATTTTGCGTTTGTGATTTAGCACAGTCTCTAGCACATCACAGATGTTTTCCACATAAAAGACAGCTCTTAATTCCTCCACTTCGTTCCAAGACGCAATTTGCAGGATGTTGTACAATTTTGGATCTTTTGAAATTCTCACTATATCCACTAGTTAATTTCTGCTTCAGATTGGAGCGAGAAGGTAACCAAAGTGCACATTCTTACAGCCTATAATCCAATTGGAACTGGGGTAGCTGGTAGGTGTACTGGTCTACTAATGTGACGCGACCTCATAATGCATTGGCGACGGCAGATAATGCTTCTGTACACGTCCGTTGTAGTCTAGATGGTTAGGATACTCGGCTCTCACCCGAGCTACCCGGGTTCGAGTCCCGGCATCGGAAGCTCCCGAGTCTGTTCTGGATATCAAACTCATTCACTTTTCCTATCATTTTTTGTCTTTCGAACTCCCTTCCCTTTACAGAAATTTGTACTGCACACATAAGAGGAGGAGGGGAAATGTGCCAAAAGTGCCAAAAAGGACTGTGCCGAAATCAAACAAATTAAAGTGATGCTCAATATTACCTCTTATTCATACATTTAGATCTAATGTATAAGAAATTTAATGCAAAAGATAATGAAAGACAATAAAATATTTTAAAATCAATAGAAAACTTTATTAATTATTTTTGAGAATTTATGCCATAGATAGATATGTTCATATTGATTATAGTTATTATTTCTTTTTGTTAATAAATCAAATCTCATGACTTAATATAAATTCAATCCTTTATTATAGGTTTAAAAAGTAACTTTTGTCTTGCAAATATTATTTCTATTAATAAAAATAAGATCTAAAATTACAACTATCATTGAAAAAATGAATGTCTTCAAATTTATAATACTGCAACTTTTTGTAATTATGTTATATTTTATGTTTAAAAATTCTTCACGTGTCCTTAAAATCTCTTTGTAATTAAAAAATTAAGAAAGATGCATGTTAATTTTTTTTTCAACATTACAATATTTTTATTTCAATTTTCAATTATAATTGAATTAGAAGTGTTTTTTTGCATATTACATAATTCAATATAGAATACATATATATATATATATATATATATATATATATAGATATAAGATTAATTTCTACAGTAGAATAATGTATCATATAATATCTAAACATATTAATTAATTAGTTTTATAGTTTTTGTTTTCCAACTACATAATTTATTATTATAATTTAGTATTTTAATGTAAAATATATAATAATTTAGATATATCATTTGTCAAAGAAAAATATAAACAAAATATAAGAACCAAAAATTTAAAAAGTTTAGAAACATAAAAAAAAAAAAAAAAAAAAAAAAAAGAAGATATTAGATTAGTAACAAGGGTAGAAGCAAAACATCATTCAAATTGCTTTTAGACTTGTATTGGTAAGAGTAACGCACCTCTTGTCTTGTGTTCTTATTTAGAGTATACCCAATAGATTAGATGTTATCTTCTGGGGAAAGTTCTAAGATCTAAAAAATATTCTAGAAGTCTAAAGAACTACAAGTGGAAATTTGTAGAAGACTAGGAAAATTCTTCAGCAACTTCAGTCGAATATAAAAGCTTCTAGAATTTCTTAGGAGGTCCTCAGAAAACATTGAGCTTCCAATGCAGAATTTCAGAATTTAATGGAGCGTGCTAAAATATTCTACATATTTTAAAATGTCAACAAAATTGGCCCAAGATTCTAATGGGGTTTAGGATATTCTAGAGTATTTTAAGAAATTCTAGAAGAGGCTTGATGTATGTACTTGATAAATTCCTTGCTCTTATTGGATTCAAAATATTCTACAACAAGAAAATCATAGCATAATCAACGAATACTAATATATATATATATATATATATATAAGTAAGTGCTTAGTAATAGAATGTTTTTTCTTTGAATCTAAGAAAAAAAATGAAGGAAAATTCCCACGAGTTTTTACACGTCATGAAGCATGAGCAGAAACTCCACATTACAGCAACAAACGGGTTTTAAAATTTAATGGCAACAACGTCTAAACATGTAAATAACTAAATAAAGAAATAAAAAAGAAAAGAAAAGAAAAAAGTAAAAGGAAAAGTAGAGCGGTTGCGATGGAGTGAACACGTCATCGTGCGGCGGACGTCGCGGTGATTGTCGGCGGCTGGCGGCACGTGAGCCCGCCGCCGAGAAGCTTCTTTGCGACCAGAACGTTCTGGAACAACTTCGGAGAGGAGGCCCCACTTCGGCGTCTTTGCTCGCTTCACTCGCTCGCTCGATCGATGAACGATCAACGCGCTGCTGCTCCTTGTGGTCGCGAGATGACTCCGTCTCACGCGCACCCACTCTCGTTCCCTCGCTGTCTCACTAGCTCAACACACCTTCCCTCTCAGTTTCCTCTACAATTCTGCCGTTAGCAACACGGGATCACTGCTGCGCACTCATCCAGTCCCTCCCTCCCTCAATTGCGTTATTTATATCTTCTCCGTTTGGTGTAGCAGATCAGCGATTGCAGTTCATCTAGTATCTCATCGACTAGTTAGTCTTCCCTCTCGTGTGTGTTTGAGCGTGTGTGTGTTTGCGTTTGTGGGGTTACGAGTGGTGGTGTGAGTAGTACTGAAGCTTGAGGTTTTGGGCGGGTGGTTGGTTTCGGGGAGGAGACAAGAATGGCTTTGTATGATGCGTATGATAAGAAGTCCGACCAGCAAGGGCTCGGTTGGGCGGACCAGTGGGACTACAAGTATAATGACAAGTATGGGAATGAGGATGGGAACAAGGCGACTGGGGCCGGTGGCAAGGAGAAGCTGGCGAAGGTGAAGAGCGCCGCAAGTGCAGGCGTGGATAAAACGAAGCAGGCGGTTTCCTCGGGCGCGAACAAAGTCAAGGCCGGTACCGCGAGTGGGATCAAGTGGATCAAGCAGAAGGTCCAGAAAAAACCCCAATAGCTCGAGCCCTGGACTCCTCCTCGTATTTATCCACCGCGGAGATTCCAGATGGAAGTGTGACATTCTCGGCCAGGCGCTGTTGGTGCAGTTGGGGCTAGGATCACGTGAAGCTCGACTATTAATTCAGTTGATTTGGAGCGTTTCTGAGGGCGAACGTGTCTGTGGATGATGGAGATGACGGATTTCCGACTGCCGAAGGTGAATCGAACTGATCCATTTACCGCTCGCACGAGGATTTTGCGACGCTGCCCTCATACACTATTTGTTAGCTGTAGAGATACATTGTGGAGACTGGGACATGAATTCGTGATGTTGTGCCAAACTCATGAATTGCTTCGTTAGCTCAAAGGTTTTGGTTTCAGCGGAGATTCAGCCTTGGTCAGTACCGCGGTGATGCATGCAGACGGGTCACAGGCTCGTCGTTTTCACATCACACCCGATTTTTTTTGTAATTCAAGTTTGTGCATACATTAGTGCAGTTTGAGGGAAACATTGTCGCTCAGACAACTTCCATTTTTCATCCTTGTAGAATGTCCTCAAATTTTATCTCTTCCTGAGATGGAAGCTTATTTTAATGAAAGCTGATACGATTTTCTTTAAGCAACGGAAGATATCTGTTCTTGTCTAACCTTTTTCACTCCACCAGGAGCAGCTCTGAGACACGCAAAACACTTGCGGCTGAAGAGACTAACTTGGGTCCGACACTGGCTAATTATTTTTATTTCTCAATACGGAATAAGACATAGAATAACACTACTTCTCCGAGTAGATTGGACCGAACCCTCCTGTAACGAACGGACCAAGTCCTTAACGACTGTAACGGTCAACCGGTGTTGCGAATCCAACTCAGCCAGCAACGTGGAAGCTTGCGCAGAAGTCACGACGCAGTATCGTTAGAAACTGCAAACCCATGTTCTAGAAAGCGGTGAAAACGGTGCACAGTGGACATAGTCAAAACCATCAAGTCAAGTCTAGTCGTCATTGGTGAAGACGCTAATAAACTTTCACGAACGCGGAACCTCCCCACTCGTTTCTTTCTTCCAGGAGGATAAAACGGTGAATTCAAGGACTCCAGATCACAATGTGTGTGATGAATGGGTGTTTTTAAGCTTTGGAAACATTAGGGATAAACAAAAGTTACAAAGCGTCGTCATTGTGCAGTTAGACGTCACTTTGCTGTTGGGTGATACCGTTTTGGATCAGGATTTGGGTGGATGGCTGACTTGGTCTGGGCTTCCACAAGTCCTGGATTTCCTTTCTTGAACACTTGGAAATGTTTTGAGGGTCTAAATACTACCGAATTTGTGTATGAAGTTGTCACTATTAAAACAAAACATACAAATATTAAAAATATAAATATAAACATACTTATAAATACTATCAAAATTGTGTATTAAGTAGTCACATTTACAACAATATATATATATATATATATATGTACATATATGCTTTAGTGTTTTCATTTAACACGTTTCAGCTTATTTTAGTAGGATGAGTTTTTATTTTTTATTTATTTTTTGTTTTGATTTTTGATGATTGAGGTTTGGAACCAATCAATGACTCTAAAGACCATGTTTTTGTATTTGGGGTTAGATTATTTTAACTGAATTGAAGATTTGGAGGAGGTTTTGTTTAGAAAAGGTTTGTTTGAAGTGCAAAGTGTACAAAAGTCCTAAGTGTACAAAAGTGGATAGTGTACAAAGTCTTGAGTAGACATGGTTGTTAAATATATTTTTGATTATTTTTGTATATTTTAAAAAGTTGTATGTAGCATAAATATTGATGATGCCTAATAAGTTGGTTGAAAAGCCTTTTAAGATGACCCATATAAAATTTAGTTGCTAAAACAAATAATGCTAGGTATTAGATATTTTATTAAAAAAAAAAATAATAATAATAAAAAAATAAAAACAATATTACTGTATTATCTTTGTTGGTAGCTCTTGAGTTGTAATTCTATTGTAATTTCATGTAAAATAAGAACAAAGAAGTTTTGGGTATAGTTTTTTTGTTTCATTTGTTATTCTTGAATTTCCAATAAAAATATAGATATTATCATAGCTTGCATTTTTTTAAAGGATTATTTGATCTTTTATGTATAATAATAGATTTATTTTATTTTATTAATTTAGTAATTCAATAATGTATTAAGAAATAATAAATAATTTAAGTTTTTGGATTGTATGTTATAAAAATATGATATTTTTTATTATAATAAAAATATAAATTATAATAGAGAAGTCATATTCTTGTTTAGTGTTTGATATAGGATTTGAAACCAATGGCTCAAAATTGTAATAGTGTTTTCTTGGAAAGACTCTAATATTTATTGCAATTTAAAGTAATACATTTTAAAATTTGCAGAGTGAGATTGATTGCCCAACACTTGCATGAAAAATAAAATTGACAGAGCAAGGTCTACAATGATCCAATGGTTAGTGGGTATGCTCACCAATGGATGCACCAAGAGTAATGTAATGTCACTTGTTGCTGAGAGCAAAGCATTGCACACAACACATCGTCAACTGAACATAAAATGATCATTCAAATGAACATAAATCTGACAAGTCTGATTGAGTGCTAGCAATAGACGAAAACAGTGTTTGAAATCACTCGAAATTGTAAATGGAAGAAAGACGTTGCTGATTGCCTTGCTCTCCAGCAGGAGTAAGTCAATCCTTCGAGAAGAAATTGCATGTTGTTTGCATTGCAAGATCTACAGTCCCTGCAGTCAGGGCCAGCACTAAAAAAACAAAAAAAACACCAACACCTGAATCTTATTGTAGGGCTCTACTAGCACACCCTGAGATGCAGCAAGATCACATTCACATGAGCAAATTAGGGTTTGTCTGCAGTCTACGCACACACTAGCAACGGACACGCACCGTGAAAGCTTGTGCTGTCAGTGTCGAGCTGTTGTTCCTGTGTATCCATAGTCATGCCGCCTCAACAGCTTCCTTGTTTCCAGAACCCTGATTATCACAGCAGCCTTGTGGGAAGCCTGAAAAAACAAGCTGCTGCAACAACATTTGACTTAAAACCACATTCACTTGTGAACTGAACATTTTCACCATCACTGCATCTCTCCTCTTGACCTGAACCCCTAAGAGCCCAATCGACAAGCCTCAATACCACAAAAGGGGGCCTGGATTTCCAGGTCTATCCCGCAATCTTTGCCGTGAAATGTCGAAGGCTTCAACCTGGCTCCAAGTATTGTTGCCATGCATTTCTTGCCACCCCTTCAAACTTCACAACATCCGGGGTCAATTCAACGACGTTCAGATTCGGCGCATGGTCATTTCTATTACACTTTCTCCACACTACTAAAGATAGATCTCGCTCAAAATCCCATTGTCCAAAAACTCTGCAAGTGGGTTGTGAGCTACGTGATAAGGAATTAGAGGTGGGGATTGGGGCTAGGGAATTTCAACATAGGTATGAACTCATCCTTCCAAACTCGATATTTTTTTAGTAGATTCATATTTCTAACCCTAAACTGTTTGCGAACAACCCTCTCAGAAGGAGATGAAGATCATCAAATGTTGTTGCAATAGTTCAACCAAACACCACTGATTGTCACATCTTCATCAATTTAGTATGTTTTTCTATGCGTGTATTATGTTGGATTCCAACCATCAAGTTTTCAGTACATACATGGCATTATAGACAAGTAAATTGCAGCTTCATTTAAAGAACTTCCAGTTTGAAAAATAAAAATAAAAATAAAACAAAAAATAAGGCAGCTTTGATATTGTGAAGTGAATGTTTCTTTTAAAAACATATTGGCTCCGTAAGAATTGTATCAGATTATACATATTAAAGTAATTTTGTTTAAAAAATCAAGTATTATATTTCAGTTTTAAATATATTTTGAAGTAATTAAGTAACAATGAAACTTTTAAAACTAATATTAACAAGAAAAAAAAACTTATACTTATAGAACATGATGTCTTGTTATAATTAAGAACTAAAAAAAAATATAGCAAATAATATACATAGAATATAATTAGTATTTGCAGATTGGGTTAAAAGCATATAATATAATGTGGTAAAACCTATCATTCCACATCAAGAAGGTAGAACTGAAAAGATTATATTTAATAGTTTATTGTTAAAATATAATTTAGGGGGTTGCTAGGTGGATACTTCCTTTTACTACGTGGACACCCCTTGTTCCATGCACCCTTCTATGTACACAATAAAACTCTTCTTGACACTAAAAAGTTTTAGAGTAAATTTACAATAAAAGATTTGTGTGCAATAGCTTATGGCATTTTTTCATTTTATTTAACAATTAAAAAAACCTCTTAATACATTTAATGTGATTCTTTCATTCACTTTTAAAAGCTCATTGATTTTGTTTACAGAAAGTTTTACTGTGAATTTATTCTAAATTCCTTTGATGCAAATAATAATTTTTTTATATAAATGTGAGGGTGCATGGCAAGGGGTGTTTATGCAACAAAAGGGAGTGTCCATATAATATAAGAGGATTGTCTATCTAGTAGTTTCCTAAATTTATTTGCACTTAATTTCTTTATGTTGTAACTTATTTTAGTTTTATTTATTTAATTTTAATTTTAATTTTTTTTTGTGTTAATTAGATATTAAAGCTTGTTTTGATAGAATAAACTATTGATTTAAATAAGCTTTACTTAAATTTAAATAAATTATACGAAAATAAAATATTATTTGATACTAATATATATATATATATATATATATATGTAAATTCATATAATATATAATTATTCTAATTAAAATGAAAATAATCTAATCAATAGATTTTTTTTTTATAGTTTCATAAATTTTCAAATTCAAACTCAAATTTTCCAAAAAGATTTTATATAAATTAAATTAAATTAAATTATTAGAATAAAACACATTTCTTTTGCAAAAATCTTAATAGTTTCAAATATCATTATAAATAAAAAAAGAATTTAAAACAAGAATACTTAAAAAGTTTAAATAAACTAGAATTAAAAATAATAAGAAAAATAAATATTTACAAGAAGGAAGAAAAGATAGAAGGTAGGTTTTGGAAGTAAAACATACTTTAATAGAATAAAGATATATTTAGAATATTAGGAGTATCAAAGAAATTATAAAATAAAATTTAAGGTTTTTGCAGGAAAAAAAAAAAAAAACTATAAAGAGTCATATGAGATTTGAATTAAAATATATTGATATTCATAATTAAACTTTATTTAATTCATTCATATATTGATATATTTTATTGAATTAAAATGATACTTACAATATATTAAAAATTGACTTCTTATATCTAAAAAAATATTTTAAATATTATAAATAATTTAATTTCTTCATTTGTATTTTATTTTTATAAAATTAATAATAACCCATAAAAAATAACTCAATTTTAAAATATATTTAATAATTTTGTATATTAGGTAGCATATGTTTGAAATTTTAAATACCAATTGCAGAAAAGTTTTGCTTTTAATGATTATTCCTTAGGCAGATTTTAATAAATAAAATTTTAGGTTCTTTGAAATTTTTTTGAAGGTCAAGAATAAAAAACTTGAACAAAGAATAAAGGTGAAATAAAAATAAAAGAAAAAAGGTATAAAGAGTGGCATGAAAAATAGCAAAGAATCAAATCTAATAAAAATAAACAATAGTATATATATGAGAAAAATATTTTTTTCATAAAAATATGATTAGTCTTATAGATACTTACAATTTTTCCATGAAGACAATATAACATTCTAGTTTCTTTTTGTTTTTTTGTATTTTCATTGTTCCATAAAAGAAACATTACAATTAAAAAAAGAAGGTGATAGGCCACAACTTTTAAAGCTTGTCATTGGTTGACATAAAGAATATTCACTTGATTAAGAATATACTTAGAAAAGTTAGCCAAGAGGCTTTGAGAGGAGAAAATGAGATGGAATGCATTTTTTTCTTACATAATATAAATAGTATTGTCTCTTAGAATTACATATGTAAAGGAGATCACAATCAAGATATTAGATTGAATATCTAGAATTACAAATTTAAAAATTGTTTGGTTTATTTTATGGCATCTTTATACTTTAAATCATCTCCAAATGCCAAGACCTCTAAAAAAGAGTTTTCTTCACTCAAGTGGGAAATCTTTGTAGGGCTTTTGTACAATAATTGTCTCAAGTGGACTTATTGACATAAAGGCTCTTCAAGAGCCTTGAAGAGATATTTTTGCATTAGAGAAAAAAGAAAGGTTCTACAGTTTTTAATACTTGTGATTTGTTGAAACTAAGAAATCTCTCTTGATTGTCTTTATGCTTTAAAATACGAACTAAAACATTTTAAGAGCAAAATGAAATAAGATATATTTTATCTCTTTAAGTCATAAACAATTTTGTCTGTATGTATAAATAAATATTAATTCAATTTAATTTATTATTGTAATAAAGATATTAATTGTCTTATTTAAAAATAATACAGAAAAACAAGTTGGTTCATTTTAGTGGGCTTTTGGATGTTAAATCACACAAAGTCAAGATTTTTTTTTGTTTATGGTCCATTTTTCCAATGTAGAAGAATGTAACAATACATGTATTTTATCACCTTATCATACACACATTCATAACTAGTTTATTTTATATATATATATATATATATATATATATATTTTCATAACATAAAAGCTAAACCTTGTGCAAGAATTCATCAAGAATAGTCAAGAATACATAACTAAAATTCAAACCACAGAATTTCCAAATTATTCACACATTCCTTTGGCAATGTAACATGATTCCAAATCTAATCTACTACAGTTGAAAACCTCAATAATGTAGGCAAATAGTGAGGAGGGCACATCACTCACTATCCACCACAACACAACACTTGAAATGAAATGCAGATCAGGCCACTAGAACTGGACCCACAGTGCAAAAGCTGAAACAAAACAAACAGCAACACTCCAGAGCAACCCCAGGAGAAGAAGAAGACCCACTAACACTAAAACCAGTGAGTGGGGTGCAATCGGTGAACTAGGAGGTAAGCAAGCATTGCATGCATGAAACCATAACCAAGCATCACAGTTTCACAAAGCAGCAGCAGCAGCAGGCATTGTTCGATTCACGTTGCAGCATCTGCATTTGTGGGTGGATCTGTCTTTATCCTGTCAAAAATGAGCACTGCAAACACACACACACACATACACACACACAGAGCTTGTTTCCGCAGGCGTGCTCACTAGGACATCTACAGACATCTACATGATGGAGAGGAGAATGGCTATGCTAGAATAACGCTGTGTGTGTGTGTGTGTGGAAAGGTGAAGGTTGCTAAGAAACGGGTGGCATGTGAAAGGGGAACGGATTGAATGCTCGCAGTCATGGTGGCAGGTTTCCAGTACCCATGATGGTGATTGGGGCTCAGGGATGCGACGACGATGTGGTGCCGTGGGTGGCCATTATGCGATGCAAGTGGCAACGCGGAAAAGGTCGTCTGAGTGCTTCGGCACGAGTTGCTTGGCTTCATTGACAAGTTTCTCGTGTTGATGGAGTCTCTTTTTTGTATATATTTTTGTATACATACACACACATATACATACATATATATTTTTTTCATTTTGTTTCTACACGTCCCGCCAAATATCTGTCAGGTCGTAAAGCCATCGCTCACGCTGGACGACGCAGTGTCGTGTCGACGTCATGGCTTTCTTTGTCCGCATGCGCACAGGCCCTGCATCGAACTCATCTCCGACTTGCACTGCGAATGTTTCCATCCCGGTGCTCTTGAAGTCCTTGAAATCGGCTGCTAGATTCTTCCATGGTCGTGAAAAACTTCAGTGCGACAATGTCTGGCAACGGTCACGGCGTTTCCTTCCCGTTCTGATCGTTGAGTGGGTTGTTTTGCCTGAGAACAGCCCGAGGCCACTGGTTCTGATACTGTGTTTAGCAAGTTTCGGCAAGAAGTCCTCACTGCGAGTGCACCATCTTGCGGCACTCTTGCCCTACTAATTGAATCTGACTTCTGGGGCATCGAAGTAGGAATCCAGGTCGTGATCTCGCCGCGAAATGGAGGTGGCAAGTGCGGAATGACAAAAAGAAAAAAGTGAGACAACCAATAGCAAGCAGCGAAGAGAACGATATTAGAGACCATATTCCTTTCCACGTCGTCGATGTCGGTGGTTTGAACCGCGTTGAGCATTGACCACGTGCACGCGGGGATGCACATTAAGCATGTGGAATAGATATTTTTTGCAAAAGCGGGGACGACGTGTATTGCGTGAGAGTTCATCGGAATTTCGAGGATTTGAGCTCATCGACCAAACGCCAGATACTCCCTCCCAGTTTGTCGTATTTTGTTTCGTCCCGAGAATCGACAAAATCATGTAGGTCGACTGGGAGTACTTTTTCTTATTTAGACTCTAGCTTCAGCTGCGCTTTGAGAAGAGGCTTTTGAGAATCTATGATGGGAAAGCTTGGTTCATACAGGTTGCCGGGGCAAAGATGTGGTTGCGTATTAGCTGCTCTTCGTGGAGATTGAGTTGAGATTCGGTGGATTCCTCAGTTCGGCGAAAGCTTGTCCTGGATTTGGAGCTTCGCAAGGGGTGTCTTACAGTAATTTGCTTGGTGATTCTGGAGGGGTTCAAATCACGTCGAGGATGGGTGCGAAACTCTGTGCTTCAAGATGGAGTGACAGTGGGAGAAAGGTATCTTTTTGTGGTGGCTTCTGATTATAGATGCTACAGTTTTTTCACGTGTCTTGTCGATTTCGGCCCATCTCAAAATCTGTGTCTTCCTCGCTCTCTCTCTGTGGATTTTGGTCATTTCTGAATGTTTTGAATACAATGAGAAGCTTGGTGAGGTCTTGGTGAGGTCGTTTAAAGTAGACAGGTACGTAATCGAATGATAATCAGGGCGAAGTCCGTCAGCCTGTTTCGGGTTTCAAAGTGCTTTGGCGTGTTGTTTGTCTCAAATTCACGGCTGGTCTGTCTCTGTTGCTACCCTCAAGAACTGTATCGCCTTTACGTCCTTGGGTTGCTCCCGAAGCTTTTGAACTCAAAGTACTCTGTGTAGATCGTCAAGGGCCACTTGCAATTCTTTTTTAGTTAACACTTCATCACTTTGAACTGCACTTCGCACTCAATTCTCAGTTGGTCGCTGAAGCAACCCACCGTCGTGTCATCTCAGAATGCAAGTTTTGACGGAGCTTCGACAGAACTATTAGCCGACAGAACTATGAGCTTGTCAAGCTCATTTCAGGGGCGTTGTAGGGGCTAAATATGCGAATTCGACGTTACTTCACATAGTCAATTTTGACTTTTACACACACACACACACACATATATATATATATATATATATATATATAATTTACCGAGAGATGAGAGAGATTTATTATTCGCCTGAGAATTTGGTAAATCCGAAGAAGAAGTGTTAGCATATGTATTTTTAAACTATTTTTATCTTCTTCAAATGCGACCTGAGTGATCTAACACAAATGTCGTGCTACAGGGTGCCGCATCTATTTTTTAAACATATGAATCTTATTTTGGATCATAATGGAGGCGTGTATTGAAGGATCAAGTAGAAGACATTATCGTGGAAGAAAAATTGAATAGAATCTTTTTTTGTTAGGTGAATGCAATTTTTTCCCTTGCCGTCAGGAAGTTAAGAAAAAAAAAATGGGGTGCAGAGAGTCCAAAAGCTGTATAGAACCTTGTGTAGAAAAGTTATTGGTTTGTCACAAACTTGTTCGAAGCTATTCGACACCGCATCCGGTCACACACGACGAGCAGAACCCAAAGTGTGATAGCTATCATGTGGTAACCCTCACGTCCAGTACCTACGGTTCTTTACGGTTAGATTCTTTGCCACGAACTGTAAACACTGGGAGTGTGAATTCCGGCAGTGCGGAACCTCAAAAGGATTCAATTCAGAAACGTGTGGACGCTATCAATGTGTGGAGGATCAATGGGAGTAGTCTCGAAGATGAGAAAGCAGCGCTGCAGAAGCTGCGGAGCTTGTTGGAAGAGTCGAGATTGTCTGGATATGATTATCAGAAGAATGCATCGCGCACTTCCGACAAAATTCATACCATTGAAGACGTGGATATCTTTTTGAACAGGAGAAAATCTTATTCGATGGACTATCGTTTGGGTAGGGGTGCTTCAATTGAAGAATTGGTCCCTCGTAGATCACAAGACTCCAGCCTAGTTTCTAGAAACGTGAGTAGATCGCAATCTGCCATGCTGCAGAAGCGACGTGCTCGAGCATTGCAGAGTGCCGGAGAAGTCAAGGGGTCAGACTCTTCGACAACAGAAATTTCCCCTCGAAACCAGGAAACGATTTCGAGGAGTCACCTTTCTGAAGGCAAAGAATCTGATTCAGCAGTAAGAAGCTCGGATTTCGCTCCTCGAAGTCTGAACTTCGATTCTATTAGAAGGATTAATCTAACTCGGAGTCAGGAGATTGATTCTAGAAGGAGGAGGAATCTCTCTCGGAGTCAGGAGTTCACAAGGTTTCCTCCGACGAAGCTGAAGGAAGAAGATATTTCCACCCGTCTTAGCCTTGACGAGAGAAGGCTCATTTTAGCTGAACCCGACCAAGTGTTGAGAAGCCCAATGTTGAAAGGCTCCAGTGGATACCAGAGCCCGAGAGTCCGCCGCGGGCAACAGTTGTCTGTGTCAAAGCCTGATGCTGTCGGTACTGAAAGCAAGAGCAAACCTCCGCTTCATAGTCACATCCAACCTATTTATGAGAAAACCACTCTGCCTGGAGGAGTTGTAGACTCAAAAAAGGTTAACAATAACCTCGATGCAGTTGACGTGAGTGGCCACAATGACAAGCCGAAGATTGGCAAAGCTTTAGAGCCGCGAATTGCATCAGCTGTGGGAACATTTTCAAGACTGGGAGCACAATCACCATCAGTAACTCCCCGAAACATGTCTGAAAGTAATGCTAAGATTTTTCAAGACCATCTATCCAATTTGAAGAAGTTGAATCAAGGTGTTCAAAAGGCTCCTGCAAAAGGATCAGTCCCTGCAACAGCTTTTGCAACCCAAGACACACATTCTTAAGGTATGCTCAAGGAGAGCGATAGATGTTTTGATTTTCTAGTTTCTTTTTGCCATTGATTGAGTGGGTTTTTTTTCTTTTTTCTTTTTTTTTTTTTTGATTGGTCGATCAGCGCCAATTTCTTTTTTCTGCTTCCCTTCTTGTAAAACACCTTCTGAAGTTCTTTAATCAAAGATTTTCTTCCATGGCTGAATCGTAAATGCTCTAGCAACAACTGGTTTCGTGTTTTCTACCGTGGACGAGTTAGAAAGAATAATGGGTGATACTTTTTAATGCAGGCTTTGATCTTGCCACGAAAGCGCATGCAGCTAAGGTGGAATCCCTGAGACCTCAACACTTAAACCAGAATCGGTAGCTTCATTCGAGGAAGATATTGAATGATTATGGGCACAGGACCGGTGTACTATTCGACTTGGTTCTAGTAATGCAGATGTGACTTATGGAGTCTTTTGAGGCCTTGACTGTGCGTCCCTGGCTTCTATAGACGAACGATTAGATGAGACTGCGGCTAAATCTATATTGAATAGGTATTAAAAAACCCATGTACAAAACCCCCACTCTCATTTGAGGATACCTCAAGCTAATTCTATGTTAGAAAGTGGAATCTATGATAATTTTTAGAACAGAGCAGACATGTAAACATACCTTGCAAACATGTGAGAAGGTTCTTCCAGGTGGGGTAGCGATGAGCACACTACAACGCAAGCTCTCCCAGCACACACAAAGCTGTAAAGGATTGGAGCCATGTGAAGACGATTCAAAGAAGCTCAGGTATTCAGATCGTCCGAAAGGGATGTTGCAATTCATGCAGATTTTCATCAAGAAATAACAGCCCTTGCAGAAAGGACGAAACATCTCAAAGGGAGGCACATTGGAGCCGAGGACGAGGTTTATCAATCGCATGACATCGACCTTGCTGCTTGAAGGTGCACCCAAGCAAGGCTCCCCGGCTGCTGTGGCTGTGGTGGAGTGAAGGTTACCCCCATTTTCAACTAAAAGCGGGAGTTATAAGGTGGTCATCGAGAAAGGTGGCGTCACTGTCCTTCAAGGGTGCAACGAGAATGGACCGAGCAGTTGCCCTATTTGCCTCTGGCATTGTACTTGAAGAAATATATGGTCGCTTACGGAGACCAATGTATCATTTGAAACTTGTAAAAGAGTGGTACTGTCTTCCACTCAATTGATGTAGCAATGGTAGTCTTAATTAGTGGAGCTGACTCGCTCTCACAGGTTTTCATATCACAACCAGTTGATCTCACTCACACACACACACACATATATATATATATATATATATATATAGAAATACACAAACACATATACATTACAGTTATCAGTTGAATTGCAATCGAAACTCATGCTACTCTACTTGATGAGGCTACAATTTGCCTGCACCTTCAAGTTCTAATCTTAGATGTGGTAGATTTGCCAGGTGAACAACCTCCGCGGATTCATTCCGTTGGGATTGCATGCATGCAGACAAGCAGGCGCTCACGTGCTTGCGAACACAAGCGAGAGGCTGATCCCTCTCATACGTTTTGTTTTTTTCGAATACATTGGGAATTGGAGTCTATTTCATCGGCGGATGCGAACTTTGCTCTGGAGAGGATACCCTGTCTTCAAGGTTGCAGACAACTACAAATGTAATGTGTTGTCGAGAAATACCAGTCCTAATTCTGTAGCTTTTCTTACTTTAAATGTTGTTCCTGCTGCAATTCTGGACATTGTTCAGGCCAGGATGGATCATGGAACTGTTATTATACCGCCATTTTGTTGGATCTAGATATTATTACAGCACCGAAAGATAGCACGAGTGTAGGGTTGCGCTCACCGCAATATCAGGAACTCTAATACTCTGAACAGACCTTTAGGGCTATCGTTCGCAGGCAGGACCAAAACAATAACATCAACGATATGCGGCAAAATTCTAGCCTGATGCAGCCTGGGGGCCCTACATCAACGTGCCGGTAGTTGGAATGCTGGCGGTTCTCGCAACCGGATCGACTTTCGGTGAGGTGTTAGAGCCGGGTCAGGTCACGGTTAGGTTACGGTGCATAACGGAAACATGTTCTTCCACCCGTAACCTTGTGCTTTAGGCGCCGGCGACAGACATGTACCATGCCCTGCGAAAGTCAGATGAGCTTGGAGAATAAATCTTCAAGGATTGACTGAACAAGTTTATCTTAACTAGACAATCATCAGAACCCAGTTGAGACTAGATGGGATGGTGACGGTAGGTCGAAGTACAAACGCAAATCTGAAGCGTGGAGAGTGTGAACTCACTCCACAATTGGTATCAGACTCTGGAATGGCGACCTCAGAATCAGTACAACGTCACGATTCACGGCCTTAACATGAGCTACAATGTCGATGTCATGGGAAGCAGCTAAAATCTATCAAGTCGAAGCAATTAATAAAACCCTTAGCGATAGAAATTGTGAGTACTGTGAGGTAAGGCGAAGGTAGCCGAAGGCTCCGGAAGATCTTGTGTGAATTGTTCGTTTCGCCTCTTCCTTCCGCTTTACGCCTTCGCAAGTCGTGTCATGGATGAAGCATTCGAAATTAGATCACGCAAGTAGGTACCACCACCTCATGCCCTTTTCGCTGATCCGGTGGAAGCTCCCAGAGGAGACGATTGGGCAGAGACTGAAATTTAGAGCCAGCAACCCATTGCTGGTGCAACCCAGCTCGTACCTATACGCAAAACCTCCTTGAAGTACATACTGTTCGGTTGGTGTACAGAGCTAACGTGCTTGCGGTGTCTACCACGCACCAATTGAGTGAGGCACAGTAACATGTTTCCATTAACCTACGTGTGATATTCGCAAGCTTGCTAGAGCCACTTCTTAGCGTGCTCCCTAAAAAAAATGGTGAAATGTTTTGCAGGGAAATGTACTTTTGTGAACAGTGATGGTGGTCATGTAGAAAACTACAAAATCTCAGGTTGGTCAAACGTACAGAAAGCTTTTGTAGTTTCTGTCCCTCTGTTGAGCTTCACATGTGGTCTACTGTGAGGGAATACATACCACTGTGAGAGTAGAGACTTCTGGGTATGAACAGTGTGCGTGTAGCTTCCACGCTATAGCTTGGCAAACGATCGATGCCCTTTTTTAGGTTTGTGTTGGCGATTGCACAGAAAAAAAAGTGACAATGGAGATGAAGGGCTCGTATGGACTGGGGAAGTATGTTGCCTTTGTGGTTGTGGCTCTGTCATGGACGGATCTGGTTACAATTACTGATGGATTCACCAGTGCCGAGTATGCCAGTCGATTGGAAAAATCTCTACAATTCTATGACATTCAACGCGCAGGGAAGCTGCCGTCCTGGCAACAACTCAAGTGGAGAGGAGACTCTGCGCTTGAAGATGGCAGCGCCGAGAAGGTATGAGCATCTCTGTCCGTGGGTATTGACCTCCAAAATTCCTTGTATTAAATGATTCAGAACCTCCATGATACTGTTCGAAGTCTTGCAGATGGCAAATTCGTTGAAGATGATTGCCAAGCTCACAAAGAGCATTGCATTGAAAACGTCCTTGATTGTGGACAGATTCAACCACCGTCGTCTCTGATATCCTTTGTTGACGATAACTTCGTGCATGTTGATCTAAGTGGTGGATATTATGATGCCGGTGATAATGTGGAATTCGGGTTCCCGCTGGCTTACACCATCGGCCTTCTTGCGTGGAATGTGGTGGAGTTCGGCAGCAATTTGCAGAGAGCAGGGCAGCGGCAGAACATATTAAACAACATACGCTGGGGGACAGACTATCTCCTGAAGGCCTATACTAGCTCCGAGGTGCTCTGGGTCCAGGTCGGTGTACAAGAACCTTAACTTCGGAAGAAATCCAATGATTTGTTGCCCAAGCACTGTATCAAGATGAGGACTACATGAAAATGTGCAATGTGCGCGAGATGTCAGGTTGGAGACCCTAACAGCGATCATCAATGTTGGGAAAGACCAGAGGACATAGACACTCCTCGGACTGCTTACAAGGTTGATTCCAGTCACCCAGGATCTGACGTAGCGGCCGAGACTGCTGCAGCATTTGCGGCAGCTTCTGTGGCTTTCCGTCGTGTTGACTACGCGTACTCAACCACTTTTACTCAGCGCGAGGAGGGTATGTTGTCTTAACTCCTGCCGTGGATTGGTTTATCTACAATTCGTGCTGCTTTTCGTGCACTGCGTTGCTGATTAAATATTACTCGAAAGGCTCTTTAGCAGCGCCAAGCAGGTTACTGATCGAATTGTACCACCCTAGCTTTTTTTTAGTGCTTTGACTGGTAGTATTGGCCCACAGTGAAACATCTTTTCTGATATTCACACATTCAGCACAGGTATACAAATCTTGGCACCCAAACGATTGATTTGATTTGTTGAAGGATATCACATGCTGGCTGTGAGAAGTAAATTTCCCCCACAGAATATCAAAATGAAATTCGGTGTTTCATGCCAAAACATAGTTCATTTTCTACATGATGACGCAACAAAATGTGCTGTTGAAGAAAACTAATCTTGAGGCTGAGTTTGTTGGCAGATTTTCAACTTTGCCGACAAGTACCGTGGCAAATACAGTGATAGTCTCGCTGGAGTTGTATGCCCCTATTACCGTTCCTACTCTGGATACCAGGTAACAAATGATCCTCCGTTTCATTGATTTACACTTTTACTGTCGATTCCCAAGGAGAGGAAGAAGTGGGTTACGATCATCCAGTAATCTGGGTGGCGCACTTAAAGTCTTCACCCATCCATCGCTGAACAAGAGAGCTGTATATCTAGGATGAGCTGGTGTGGGGAGCTGCGTGGTTGTACAAGGCAAGTGGAAACAAGAGCTACCTCGACTTCCTCATCACGAATGCAAATACTCTAGGGGCGCAACCACAACAGTGAATGCATTCAGCTGGGATAACAAGTACGCAGGCGCTCAAGTACTCGTTACTCAGGTTCGATTGAAAACTTCATGTACTGTTCGCATAATCTAGGGATAGATTATTCTTACATCAATCGTACTCTGCCGAATACATGGAGATTGCAGGCACTTTTTATGTTGCAGTTCAAGTAAGATTGACGACTTACGGACGTGCACATCATAGCACATGTTCTAGTGAAACCCACTGATCATTACGTTCTTGAAACGCCCTATTATCAAACAAACAAGTGTGACTTTGGATTGGGTTGCGCAGGCAGTGCTGTCTGGAACTCAAGGCCTCCAGAGCTACAAAGACCGCGCCGATGGCTATATATGTGCAGTATTGCCTTCTTCGATCAGTCAGAGCTCCCAGACGTCTTACACTCCAGGTGCGCTTCGTGTATGTTGCTACTTACTTCATCGGAAATTGGAGTCTGAAGCCGTGACAGTTGAATGCAGTTCAGAAGAAGATTAACCAGAAGCTAAATGGGATCGAGCTTTCGATGAACCGTATCCCTTCTTTCTTTCTTTTTTTAAATAAGAATTTGCTTGCTTACACTCAGTGTGATCATGTTCAGGGGGGCTACTGTTTCACAGCGGCCAGAGCAACATGCAGTATGTGACAACAGCCGCTTTCTTGCTCACAGCCTACTCCAAATACTTATCGGCTGCAAAATCAACAGTGAATTGCCAAGGTGCTCTTGTCACGCCCGCTCAACTGTCGTCAACAGCCAAAAAACAGGTGGATTATATCCTTGGCAGCAACCCCAAAGGCCAATCCTACATGGTTGGGTTCGGCAAAACTTATCCGACACGAGTACACCATCGCGCTGCATCCTTGCCATCTGTGGGTTCTCATCCCCAGAAGATTCAATGTTCGGAAGGTTTCAACTACTACAACTCCAACAACCCCAATCCTAACGTGTGCACTGGCGCGATTGTTGGTGGCCCAGATCAGAGCGACAACTTCGACGATGACAGAACCAACTTCGCCCAGACTGAGCCGACAACTTACATCAACGCCCCGATCATTGGAGTTTTGGCGGTTCTTACCACTGCCAATTCCACTCCTGTGACTGACATCACTTGCGACTGGAGTCAGTGGTACATGTCAGGCTTCGTCACGGACGTTGTTCCTAGTTTTTAAGCAGCCAGCAATCAAAGTAAGATTAGAAGGTTGTTTTTTTGTTTTTATTTTTATTTTTTAACTAGTGATTCAACCTAATGTAGTGCACATTGTTTTCTTAGTCTGACAAGTCCTGTTCGACGTGGTCAGTCCATGTAGTCGGCCGCTGAACAAGTAAATCTTAATCCTATCCTCCTGGATATTTAGATTGCAACAACTTATTATTCAATACTTTTCGACAACTCTGGAGCCTTTGAGTTCAATTTCTGTAACCATTCGGCTTCCAACCTTAAAAGTATTCTTGCTGACCTGCTTTGGAATGCATCCAACATGTTTGCCTCGGTAATTCTGATGAACTCCTTTCAGTTCACAACCAGGTGGTTGCCTAGATTAATTCCGTAGAACCGCCACTAAATCATTGTATTTCTGATAATTTAAGGAAGAAATTGGCGCTAATTGTTGTCGCACGATCGAAATGCTAAAAGGCAATTATTCGATCGACAATCCACCCCTCGTGCGCATAAAACCCAACTTATGCAACCTGAAAGCCCAGGAAGATCTAAGTTAGGCAATGTGACTGAGATCAAAGAGGAGAAAATCCTTGCCATTGCGAGCTTGATATCCTGTCAGCGACATCTCATGGATGCCAGCTCAATGGACAATCTCACATGAAGTACCATTGCGCTCTGCATTTGCGAACCATGGAGAATATAGTTAATGCGGATGTTGTGGCCCTGAAAGGATGGCGGTGAGTGATGAAGCCAAAGATGGGATTCGAGAAGATGGATACGACCTCAGAATTTTCACGGCACTGTAAAAAGAACCATTCGAATCTGGATCCGCTGATGCACGCTTCTGATTAAGTGTTGGAGACTGCTCACCAACTTGCGATCGTGGGTCAGTCAAACAAGTTTGTGCAAACCTCAGTTGCGTATTTGCATGGTGAGACGCTGAAGGGTGGAAGCTGGGAAATTGGAAAAGCCATAGAAGCGCAAGCCATGAGGCGATGCGCTAACCACTAATGCAAGCGAGTACTGACGTTGACCGCTGGGTAGTTATCGTGCACGTTGAGTACTTCCCTTGTTGGATTTCAGTTAAGTAACCGACTATAATTGGAGAAAATATCTTGAATCGGGCAAATGGTTTGCTACAATTTTGGGCAAGGTTTTCCTCCGAAGGTTCAGTTTTTACTCGTTTGACTAAGTGCTGCGGAAGTACGAGTTGATTCGAAAGTCTCACCCCAAAAACACTGCTTGATCTCGCTTAGCTAAGTTGAATGGTGCAGCTGCCTCCTTTTCAGTGTCATTGCTCACTTATATTTTCCTATGCTGTAGGGAAATCAGTTGACTTGTACTTAACAGATTCAAGCTCAGTGGTGGTGGTAATCTGTGGGGGCAATGGCGCAAGTCAAAACCAATTTGGAGGTGACGGTGGTGAATTCTGCGGAGCGTATCTGCGCCTCAAAGAGCTGCTTTCTGAGAAGTCAAATCTCAACCAAAACGTCTGGGTTCTTCAAGGTTGCCTTTCAATGCGTCACGGCACTTGATTTGCGACTTTGTGAGATTACAACACTGGAGCTATTTCCCAATGAGCACAAGTGTGTGTGTGTGTTTTTCTGTTGCCGAGCTGGAAAGTCTTAGTATAATTCACGTGCACATCTGAAGCCGAAGTACAATGTAGTTGACGTAGCGTACAGAATTTCCTACAAAAATCTAAAATCTTTTGACCCCACCTCCATGTTCCACTAAGTGAATCCTGTTCTGTTTTATATAACCCTTCAAATTTTCATCTTCATTACATCAGAGTTTTCATTTTTATTTTTTATTCTTTTTTTCTTCCTGAGCTGGCTCTTACCTATGTGATGCACATACTAGATGTAGGTTTATAAGTAATCGATGTAGCAATTGCAGTTCGAGTGTGCGAGACTGTAACAATGCAACACTGAATCCAATGCAGTTCGATGCAACTTGACCTGAACTTGGTATAGGTTTTCAATTTCATCTAACACAATGTAAAATTTGCGGTGAAGTCCTCCCATTTTTCTAACCACCGACGACGACGTTTTCTTCTAAGCAACTCCAATCAAGACCTCATATTAATAATAATAATAATAAAAAAAATGAGTACTTCGCATCCAATCTTACGACATCGACTTCCTGAGAAAACCGTGAGACCAAACTTCAAATTGTAAATGACAAAACAGAAAAACAAGGAGACGTGTAATAAAAAATGACGTCAAGTAGGTCAAATTTTGATCACTTCCTTGCATACTTATAAGGCTAGAATGTTAGCGGGTGCTGCAAATCCCAGTTCTCCATGAAAAGAAACACATGCCTCAGCTTCTTCTCTCACATTCCATCTTTCCACATTGCCGCTCTGCAAGCCTTTCCCGAAACAACTAAAGGAGTGCAACAGTTAAGGCAGTAGTCCGAAGACACTTTCAGCGTTTGGGTGCACATCAAAGGTCATGGAGCGAAATGGCTCGTCCAGATCATTGAAGAGGAACATCCTCGCCGTTGTGACAGCTGTGTCATGGGCCAACTTGGTGGCAATCGCTGTTGCATTCAACAGCGCGGAGTATGCCAGTGCTCTGGACAAGTCCCTCCTCTTCTACGATGTTCAGCGCTCCGGAAAGCTTCCTCCCTGGCAGCGCATCAAATGGAGAGCAGACTCTGCTCTGGACGATGGAAAAGCCGAGAAGGTAAGCATTTCATGACGAGTCTGAGATCCATAGGGATTTTATTTGAGAGTAAAGGTGTTTTTCAACAGCTTTTTTTTTTAACTGAATGGAGTTTTTATGTTACTGTAATTTGAGGTTGAAGTTGAGTTGATAGGAAGATGGCATGTGCAGATGAATCTCACGGGTGGTTATTACGATGCTGGCGATAATGTCAAGTTCGGGCTGCCCATGGCTTTCTCTATTACTCTTCTGGCCTGGAATGTGGTGGAGTTCGGCGACAACTTGCAATACACTGGACAGCTTCAAAATCTTTTGAACAACATCCGCTGGGGAACAGACTATTTGCTGCGGTGCTACTCTGATTCTGAAGAACTCTGGGTGCAGGTCATTCTCCTACCAGTTAAACCTCACACATATCTAACTCGGTTCATAATAACTGGCTTGATAATTCTTCACGTATCCAACTAGTTTTACCAATGTTGCGACATTTTCATGGATCCGAAGCTAGTGTACAAGTTGAACACAAGAGAATGGAGGTAGGATTGTGCAGGTATGAATATCCGAATGGGTGCAGGATGAAAGGTGAGTCATAAAACAATCTTGTGATGTGAGGATTGGAATACCATACATAATCAACAACATCGATGGTGTGTGTGTGTGTGTGTGTGTCTTGAGCCAGGTCGGTGAACCGAATGCCGATCACCAATGCTGGGAGAGACCCGAAGACATGGACACACCGCGAACGGCCTACAAGATCGATTCCGACAATCCGGGATCTGATGTAGCAGCTGAGACTGCTGCTGCGTTTGCCGCAGCGTCCATGGCTTTCCGTCGTGCAGACGTCGCCTATTCCAACACACTCATTCTTAGCGCAAGGCGGGTGAGTTTTTCGGATGCTCTGAACTGAGGGCCATCTTCAGAGATTCAATGCTTCAGTGTCATATATCAAAAGTAGCCTCGATTAGTGTGAAGTAGTCCACCTTGCTAAAAGTTTCTCTAAAGCTGCTCTAAGGGCAAACTTGTTGAGCTTGGAGGTTTATTGAGGTGGAGATGGCTGAACTTTTGGCAGATCTTCAACTTTGCTGACAATTACAGAGGCAAATATAGTGACAGTCTCGCTGGAGCTGTTTGCCCCTTCTATTGCTCCTACTCTGGATACAAGGTAAGCTCACACATCGACACTCAATGATCGCCTCTGGGTTTGCCTCATTGTGTGCACATCATCCCCATTTTTATTCTAAGTTCTGCACCTGATCGTTTGATCCACTCAATTCGCGAGAGTTATTTCTTGTTTTTTTTTTTCTTTCTTTCTTTTAAACGGTTTTCGTGACTTTGATTCAGGATGAGCTTGTGTGGGGAGCGGCTTGGCTGTACAAGGCAACCCGCCTAGACCTCTACCTTCAATATCTCATCACAAATGCAAACTCCTTGGGGGGTGCGACCGTGACAGTGAATGCGTTCAACTGGGATAACAAGTATGCAGGAGCGCAGTTACTTGTCGCTCAGGTGAGGAAATTGCCATCTTGATTTGTTGCACTATTGTTTGGGATCGTTTACTGCGGCACAATACTGAGACAATTTTTTCTCAAATCTGCCATTACTGTGGATGAAGTACTCCACTGAAGGGTTTTTGCAACTTGTGCAGGAAATTCTTACGGGAACACAAGGTCTCCAGCAAGGCTATAAAGACCGCGCCGATGGCTACATCTGTCAAGTATTGCCCTCGTCAATTAGTCCGGCGTCGACGACGACTTACACTCCAGGCACGAGACTTTTGTTATTGCAGTTTGATGAAATTAGTGAAGACTCTGCTGTGTGTGTGTGTGTGTGTGCAGAGAGCACTAGAGTGGGTCTGAAATGTGCTTGAAAAAATTTCACCGAGTTTCTGTGGCATGTTCAGGGGGCCTGCTGTACCAGACCGACGGCTCCAACATGCAGGCTGTGACAACGGCCGCATTCCTACTCACAAACTACGCTAGATCCCTTGCAACGGCAAAAAAAACTATCCAATGCGGAGGCAGCCAGATCACACCCGCCCAACTCACCACAGTTGCACAAAACCAGGTTAGAGTTCAACACCATCCTTCGCAACCAAACAACCCCTCAAAAATCTCTTCACCTGATTGTGCTCCAGAATTAAAAGAAACAATATTCAGTCATTGTCAAACATCTAAATACAACCATGGGTGGTCGTCACTGTGTTGTTGTTGTTGTATTATCAGGTAGATTACATCCTCGGAAACAACCCCAAAAAGATGTCCTACATGGTGGGTTTCGGAAGCAAATATCCAACACAACCTCACCACCGGGCGTCGTCGTTGCCCTCCACATCGGCTCTATCACAGAAAATTGGATGCGGCCAAGGTTTCACTTATTACAGCAGCAAAAACCCCAACCCCAACTTGGCCATGGGCGCAATCGTTGGCGGTCCAGACAAGAACGACAACTTCAACGACGTCAGAAGCAACTACGCCGCGCTGGAGCCCACAACTTACATCAATGCACCCATTGTTGGAATCTTAGCTGTTCTTGCAACCAATCGCACTTCCACCACCACCACAACAGCCTCTGCCCAACTGCCGATTGCCCTTCAACGCTTCTAGGATCCCATGCAAACATTCCTCAACACTGGTTTCACTTCGCTGTGATGGATCTGATCTCGAAATTAAAAAAACAGTCAAGTTGGCTTGACTAATAGCATCAAATCACACAATAAAAACAGCAACCTCGTATCTCTCTCGCTTATATATATATATATATATATATATATAAATACGTTTCATTCTCGCTAGTTTCTCGGTTTGTGAACGCTCCGAGGAAGTGTTTCTCAACTAGCCTTGCAGTAGTTAGTGGTACCTAAGTTGAGATTTTTATATTCCTTACTCTGATTTTATAATATTGCGGCATTATAAAAGTAATTTTTTATGCGAACAATTTGCACCTACTCCTGATCCTGTTCATGCTGAACATCACACTGCTCAGAGAACTGGTTTCAACAAGACATGTGCAATCTTTTGCGAAATAGATTGATTTAGTGATGTTGCTAAGCGCTTTTTTTCTGTTGAAGTAAGGTGGAGTTGGTAAGCATGCGTTTCATTGGGGAAAAATGAAGGAACAAAAAAAATTATATATATATATATATATATATAAATATATATTAAATGTGAAAACAATAGGCATCTTCATGAAAAGTTGATATATTGATAAATTGTAGAAAATCTTGTAGCCACACTTCTTTCAAACTGAATAACTTATTTTTCAATATCCACTTCGAGCACCTCTACCTTGGAAGATAAAGAAAAAATTATAAAAACTTATATAATTTAATAGAATATTTATTTGATGTTAAAGTATCAATTATTTCTTTGTTTTGTATAATATTTCGAAGAAAAATCACACTAACTATTTTTTTAATTCTACCTTAAAAATTCATTAAATGTTTTTATCAAAAGAAAGCTTTCAAAAATTAACATTTTTAGCAACAGTTTAAAGAAAATTAAGAAACACAGTCCACAAATTATATGAGGATAAAGATGATAACCATGTCAAAAAAAATTTAATTTTTGAAAAATTCGTAGGTGAAATAGACAATCATTTTAAAACATGAATTAAACGTACTAAACGCAGTCTTAATATTCCCTTCATTCATATTAATTTTATTCTAAAAACATTATTCAAATTTCTGCCCACTTATCATATAATTTATCATTCAACATTTTTAACAAGTAAAACTATTCTAATCAAGGTTTCAAATGTGGCTACTTAAGCAGTTTTTCTGACCAAATTTCATGTCCAATACAATGGTCATAAAAAATCATTCAGTATTTTTATGGGTATATTTGGGGTATTATGCAATGAAAATTTAGATAATGAATAAATTCAGTGAACTTGGCAGCAATGCAAATTGTGTAATTTGACAAGATATTGAAGATTCTAATAGTTGTGTATTGGTTCCTATCAGCACATGATTCTCTTCTTTAAAAATTATCACTTTCGAAAAATTCTTTGCTACAAAACTCATGGTTCATCTTTGTAACAAAAACTTATCAGGAATAACATTACATATTTTAAAGTTTTAAACCAGAACATTTCAGAGTTAAAAATGTATTCATACTCTACAAAAAATATCTCTTCTAATCAACTGTTTTAGTTTGCATAAGATTGCAACAACCAATCCTTATACAATATTTAGCTTGTTAAAGTTGTTCAATTTTATTTTGCTTGTACTTCCTACATCTCTATTACTTCCTAACTGTCATGTCGAAGCATCAAATCATGTCTTGAACAAATTCCAATGTCCTTAACCTTTCTGTGTATACATCTTCTTGCAATTTCAAGCATAAAAGTATCATCAGTGGTTAGTTGTTAAAATACAACTTTAATTGCCTTATAAAACCCTCACACGAGAAGCTTGCTGAACAAAACACAAGTTGATCCCATTTTGTGCATGCAATCCAAACAAAGAGGATGAAGAAATCTACCCGTAAACTTGGGATTCGCCGCCAAGCATTCAAGGCAGCGCGTACAGGAGAAAGTCCGAAGTTCGAACGGACCATCGTACAGTTATTATTCAGAGTTTAATCAGTTTCAATCTCCTCTGCAAAAGCTGGCTGAAGAAATTGCCTCAGAAGTTGTACTGTTCCCTGGAATCCCTGAGATAAACCTGTGTGGTGACAGACGGATCACGACTTGGAGACAATTTATCAACTGTAAACTGCGTGATACGTATTCGTTCAACAAATGTAAGAAATGAAGGATAAATTAGCAGAGCATTCAGTGTCCAGATTGAAAGGGGACGAACATGATCAATTTTATCGAAATCGTATCCGTTTGGATTAAGGTTGAAAAAGACTAATGTTCTACGGTACAAGGGCTCAAACCGCAACTGGCATCCAGATGACCATCGAGGTGTGGCAATGACCTTGATTTCGCAACCCAAGTCACACACCGCCCTATTTCCAACATCATGATAAATGCAGTTCGCAACATAGTCTTCGTATTTGGAACTGATTTGTCAGAAGTGTAGTAAACTGAAACGGGAACCCCTCCAGCGAGCGCATGGAGATCTGAAGTGTGAGCTTGAATCGTTGAAAAAAATAAGCCGCTGAGGTTTTTAGGGACCCATAACCTCCGCTATTTTACTTTCAGAATCTCGGCTCGGGGTGACAGCATCCTGAAGGGAAAATTCATGCGAACAGGTCCAAGTACTGACAAGATTTTACATCCGCTGCCGAGTAGTAAGTTGCTTCCTACTTCATGATTGAGGAGTCGAAGTTCTCTCCCTGTGCAGATTGTTGCAGCAACCTGGGTTCGGCTGTGGTATGGTCGGTCTCTTTCTTCGAGATGTTCTCTAAGCCCAGTGGATCAGTAGAGTCTCTACGAATTTTTCGCGTCTTGAACGAACCAAGAGCCGCGTGAGAATAACCATATTTCTCGAGCACCTGGTTATCTGCGAAATTGAAGGCACGCTCCATCTGCTTGAAACATTCGTCATTCTCCACATTAGCTCCTAATTTGCAAGGTTTGCACCCCACGAAGTGAGTCACAAAAGGCCACCTCTCATCTCCGTACCCTGGGTGGTCCTTGGCCATCATTTTCTCGTAGTTGTAAACTACGAACTTCCAGTATCCATGCAAGAAAAATTCCCACTCAACATACGTATTTGCCTTCCACTTAGGATCGCCATACAGTATGATATAAACTAGCGCAGACTGGTCATCCGCTTCAAAAACCGGTCGATTAACAAGCTTATCAGTAAATAATTCGCCTGCAAATTTTCGCACAAGTAAATGTTAGATGCGTGACACCCATATATTCATCTCAAATTTAGTTGTGAGTCCCTTCATTTCAAGTACAATATATCGAGAACTTAACGAGGAAAGACTCAACGTAAACCATTCCCGAAACTATTCTTTGATCCTAGAAGCCCGAGTATGAATTATGAACTAAAATCCGTCACATCGCACAATAGGTTCACGTAGCAGGTTCTCTATTTCAGCTGAAGATGCAAAACAGAGGCGCCATGGTTCCCACCACATCATTTCTAGTAGCTAGGACAAGCATCAGTATACTTCAGACATCATCTGTTCTTCATTAAGTAATATTAAACAGAATGCTTGAGTTGTCAAATAGCGAGACACAGGATCACGCACAGGTCACTAATAACAAACTCCAGCGGTGGTCGCTTCTAACCATCACTGCCGATGCGAGATAGCAATCCGAGACTCGAGTACATTTCCCAAAGGCAGCAAGCATGGGAACGATTGTTTTCAGGCAAAAGAGATTTTGACAATATAAGACCCAAACTATACCACCGAACTTCACCTAACACCACAATAGAATCGGAATGCGAAGAACAGGGATCAGTGCCAAGTAACTAACTGCAACCCAGATCAGACGATTATCACCATCCCAACAATCCGGAGAGATCAACTATGTACCTGTAGACCCAAATGCCATCCTGCAATACAATCCACAAAAACGGAAGAGTTATTGAAGGAAGAGTGTACCTGCTTTAACCCTAGTTTCACCTTCTGGGCCAAAGGGAGCCAATGCGTCGAGCAAATCTAATGACCACTGACAGTTTCGAATGAGGAAACTTCCCGTATTGAGACCTATCCAACTATGCTGTTCGAATAGAAGATTATGAAACCCGTGCACGATCAAGTTGTTCTTCCCATACTTCTCCATGGGCATCTCGAAGGTCATGTCCGTAAAGATAGCATCGCTGTCCATCCACCATATCCACTCGACGTCGGGGTGGTTAAGCATCATCTTTCTCAGAAGTGGAAGCTTGGCCCAAAACGAGCTCATTTCCTTCTCGAAAGTCGCCATGTTGTAGAAAAATTCGAGGCCGTGAAGGCGAGCGTAATCAATCCTGTTCTTCAGAAACTTCAGATGGTAGAAGTCGCCCATCGGATTAGCGCAAGGACTAGGCTGGGAACCCGACACGAGCAACGTCTTTGGTCTCCCACTCAGAGTCTTATTCATGCCAGGATTCAGAGTGTTCCACTTTTCACGTTGGGAGTCCCAGTCGGTGATTTTCGGGCCCAGAGTGTAAGGCGTACTGGGATCCCATTTCTCCTCTTCAACGAACTTGCTAGCAGTGGCATTATCAGGAACGGCATCCTCAACCTGAGCTAAGACCTTTGCCCTCTGTGCTTTTATAATCTGCTCTCTCAAATCAACCGAATGTGGGGCAGCGCTGCCCCCAAAGAGCCCACCAGGCCCCAATGTACCGCGAAGCACTAGAATAGTGATAAACCCACACAGAACAGTGATCTTAAGAGAATTCACTGCCTTCACCAGTCTGCGGCCCTTCTGCGAGCTCAAAAAGTTCTTCGCCTTCATTTCACCTGCTTGTGACACTTTGTAGAATGTTTTTGCCTCTGTTGACGGACGCAACATCTTGCCGTTTAAACTTCTACGTAACGAAGACGTTGTCGAAATACGAAATTAGCTCACGCACGAACCATGGTCACGAGGTCTTAAATCATCACGGTAAGGTTCTGTAACCTACTTCTCGGGTTCCGCGTTTCGATAGAAACGAATTTGCAGGGTACGGCAATGCAGGTAGCTTACCTAACTATGGCTGATCTTACAACAACACCAGTACCTCTAGGAGACAGAGTGGCGAAACAAACAAAAGAGTATGTAAAACGGGCGGTGAATCGCACAGTTCGAAAACAATGTCCAACAGCAACTCGCCTTCAGAACATAGGAGCAAGCGTTAACCTCGTCAGCTCTCACACGAGCACACAAACTCCCAGTCACATTCGGATCGTGAAGCAGAAATAGTGATTATTCGCACCTGCCATCACTGGCTTTGAATCCACTCGAGGCGACCCACATTCTGCAACGCAGCTCAACAAGAAAACACAAACACATGAAACTAATCGTGGAACTCTACAGAATCCTAAAGCGGGCCTAGGCGGGAATAACTCGACGAGACGACCACCTTCAGCCGCACCAGCTGAGGCATTCGGATTAGCAAGCACCCATCAGAAAGTCACTCAACACCCCCCTGTTCGCGGCATCATCTCCGGCCCGAACTCCAATATCTTCATAAACCAACACCAGCCACAGTGCTATAAATCCAATGAACGAAGCGGGAATCAAACCCACAGCCTCACCTCTGCCTCGAATCCCAATACATTTCTTTAAAAAGAAACCAACAGAGAATCGCTGATGAAGATACCCATGCGACACACCGCATCAGCGTTCCACAACTAAAAAAACATAAACACACACACTCACATTCTGCTCGAATACCTCCAATGTATTGCCCTTTCCAAGACCGCCTCCCCGGAAAATCGCTCCCGCACCACACTAATGCACCCAACTCACCAAATCCTACCCCCTAAAATTCACCGCCGACCACCATCAATTCAGAGGGACGCGGTGAAAGGAAGACCACGATGGAAGGATCCTCGTCACTGCAACAAAATTAACGCGAACTGTTGCCACTGCACGATGAGACAGTGATAGGGCTGCGAGGTTCAAAAATAATTTTCAAAAACAATGAAAGCGGAAGTGCGCGATAGCCAGAGTATGCGGGGGCGCTAAAGGATGAATCTGAAGGCGCGCCAGCGGGCTCCAGGAAACGATCGAGGAGGATCTGAAGCGAGAGAGAGAGGGTGGTGGTTGATCTGGATCTGGTTGCTGCGTGATTTCAGTGCTTTGCTGGGTGCAGACTGAATTCATCCAGAGGGAGCCTGCTTTCTCTCTCACCCGGGGCCGTCAGGGTGGAATGGGGCTCTTACCTTTCGTTGTTACCCACCCGGGACAAGACAAGATTCGACACCCATGGGTGCGAAAATGACTGACTGATTGGCGCCGCAACACAGCGCACTCTACACTATAGCTAGCCCCACAACCCCCATTTAAATTGAATATCACGCAGCATCAGCAGCACGAGAAGGAGAAAGGGTAAAGTAAAGCAAACTTGCATGTGATCTTTTGCGTTTTTTTCTATTTTTCTTTTTGCTATTCTCTTCCTGAGCACCACGCATTATTGCAACCAAACTGTTCACTATATTTGGTCACATTAGAGAATAGGTCTCTGGCTTGTGGGTTGACTCACGCTTCCTCTTTCGTAGGAAACTTAAGCTAATGTTACCCAAGCCTCAACTGCGTGGAATTCGACCCTGTTCGTCGCAACTTTCTGAACCTGACTTTATTTTTTTTTAATGCATGATGAATGAGAAGTACAACCTGCCGCCTGCTGCTGGAACTTGTGTTGTGGTGCTTCGAATGGCTAATTTTGGGATGTTTGCAGAATCAAATTCGGCGTCAGAAATTGCTGCTGCTGCTGCTTGTTGCGTTTCGTTTTCGGCTTCAGCATAACTTTGCGCCGTTGGTCTCTGCTACATATCGTTTTGCTGCCTTGTTTTTATTGAACTATTTTATTGCCATGCTTTCTTGCCTTGTTGTGTGGTGCCTTTTATTTTCTGCATTGTTTTGTTGCTCTTTGTGTTTTTCTTCCTTGTTTTCTTGTTGTTAATGGCAGCAGAGTTGAGTATGGCGGAGCTGAAACAAAATAGCGCAAAAAATTGAGTGAGCAATGTGAATGGATGTTGAGTTTTTGAGAGTTCACATTGAAACGTTAGTGTTAACGAACCATCAAAGAGACATTTTTTTGTTCAAGATACAACATCCTATTCAATAATTTTAGAACAACCATATATTATGGTATTACAAATGGAAATAAAAGTATTTGATGATGGTTCAGCTCATGGACGGACACCTAATGAAGATAAAAGAAAAATAATATAATTTCTAATTATGCCTCTTAATTATGAATAAAATTGAATTAGATTTAAAAAAAAAAAAAAAAAAAAAAAAAAAACCATTGCTAAGAATTATTGAAGAATTTAAGAATTTTGAAGAAATACCATTAAAAAATTGATGTCTAAGATTATAGAGGTATAAAAGAGGAAGTACTTTTGCAAGATATAGGTGCCTTTGATGCAAGATTTATTATTATTTTTTAAAATGGAAGTATGATATACAAGAAAGTTAAAGTTTTAAAAAGAAGAAAAAAGAAAAGAATGCATAATATCAAAAAAAGATTATATAAGTTAGAGATATTAGAAGATAATGAGAGGATTTTTAGTATTTATGACAAAAATAGATTAGAAGATTTTTAAGAGTTAATTACATCTATTGGATTAAGAGATATTAATAAGGTTGTGAAAATTTATTTAAAAAAGGTTTATTTTGTATTTGAATTTTTTCAAGGATCAAAAGTTATTATAAAGACAAAATATAAAATAGTAAACAAGAAGGTAAAATTTGTTGAAGTATTTGTAGGAAGAACAATTTATTCAATAGATGATTTATATTTGGGCTATAATCAATTTTATCTTGTACATGGGAATAGAGATTTAACAATAATGAAAACACTACTTGGACTACTCAAAGTTTGTATTCTTCTTTAATTTTTTACTAATTCAGTTATATATATGATGAATGGAATGAACAATATATTAAATAACTTCATTCCTAAAAAACTATGCCTTTTTTAGATGATATTCCAATCAAGGGATGTAAAAAAAAGAAAAAATGATAAGACTTAAGATAAAAGGGGGTGTTGCAAGTATGTTGTTGATTATATATAAGATTGTAAAAAGATTTTAATTTAACTTAAAGAAGTTCATCTGACACTTTTGAAAGAAAAATCTACATTTGAAGTACAAAAAGTTGTCATTGTTGGAAATTTTTATAGATTTTATGGGAGAAAATAAAATCTAAGTAAATTTGATGTAATTAGAAGGATGAAGGATACATGTGCCTCTTCAACAGAAGTAGCAAGTTTTTAGGTACTTGTATATTTTATTGTATATAGATTCTTTGTTAAATTCATATAGCAAATCTATTATATAAAATATTACATAAGAGAAGTTGATTTAAATGAAAAAAGAAGCATATTAAAGCAATGCAAAGACTAAAGGTTTTATTATTGACACATTTAATTTTAAGATGAATTGATTATAAGTATAATTGACAAGTAATTCTTACTATAGATATTACTTATATTACTATTGGATGGGTTGTGGATCAAGATGATTTAAGTGAAAATAGATTTGTAGTTTGATTTGAAATTAAAGTTTTAAGTACTTGCCAATGTGTATATTTGCAAGTTAAAAGAAAACCATAGAAGTTTTTTCAGCCATGAAAGCTAAAAAAATATTATATTTATTGATATAGTAGTAATAATTCAATTTTTATGCAAATAATATTTTTTATTAAAAAATTATATCTATTTATAAAATTGATATGCTAAATATTAGAATTTTGATTATATATATATATAGTTAATTTTTTAATAAATATTCTATAATATTATTAGATTCTTTTATTTCATAGAGTATATATTGTTGTGTGATGTGGCATCATATGTCAAATCACATTGGATGAAAATAATATATTTTAATTTAGAAAATTTTAATCCATTTAGAATTTTATATTAATTGGTCTTATTAGTGTCAATTAAGGTTTAGAGGTTTTAGGTAGAGAAGGTTATTTGATTTGATATTCTCTATCAAGTTAATTCTTGTGAGTGTTTTAAGAAGAATTTTTTTTACTTATTATAGAATTATGCTTGAATATGGTAATTTAGCCATTGAGTAAAATTTAGGATTCATTTTACATATTAACACTCTTGGATTGTTCATTGCTTCATTTGGTGTAAAAATTATCTTAAATTTTAGTGTGTAGATACTTCATTGTATTTTCAAAATATATTTTTTGTGCATACTTATTTGGTTTTAAATTGCATACTTGATGATAGTTTTTGACACTCAATATTTTGTATATGACAATCTTTATTTACAAAAAAATATAAATTTAAAGATAATTTTTCATCTTATCTTATATCATATACAAAAACCTTTTTTATATAATTACAAGTAGCTTTGCAAAAAAGTAATGAAGAATAATTCTAAATAAAAATTTCTTTTCAGATAATTTCTCAATATTAAATTGTTTATTACATTATTTTTATACTACTAATTCTTTTCAAAACCTGGATTTCTAATCTTTCTAGAATATAGAAAATTTTGACAAGTCATATTATTTTTAGACTAGTAAAAATTATTTATCAAAGAAATTTTATACAAATAATCTTCTTAAAAAATCTAATAACATTTCTATGTTATATATTTAAAACAAAATTTCTGAGTTTATGAAACATTTTGCATTAGTTATACCATTTACTTATTTCTGTGATTATTGTTAACGTACAAAAGTACTTTTATTTAATAAGTATATATAACTTATTAAATAGATTTAATTTTCATAAAAACAAATCTAACACAATTTGAATTTATTTTACAATATGATTAAATAAAAATGGTTTATATTAAAATGGTAATTACATGTTGTACCATCTTCAATAACCACATAAGAGATTCTTTTTATATTATTATTTAGAATCAATTATTACTATGTCTACATATACATATGAATTTTTGTATTTGAAGTCAAAGTTATAAGATAGTAAAAAATCATTTCAAATTTTGCTAAATAAAATGTGTTTAAAATTAATTTATTTACTTTATAAATTATATTAAGATTGTTTTACTTACTGTGGGATAAAATGTTTGTTTCATGCAATACAGTTTTGGCATGTTTTTTTTTTTTTTTTTTTTTTTTTTTTTTCATCCAAAGAAGTTTTACAACTTAGAATGTTTATGATTTAAAATTAAAACTTCATATACCTTTTTTATTTTAATTCTAACATATAATAAAAGAATTAGCAGATTATTTTTACCATACTTAATCTAAATAAAAAAAAATGAATAAATCAATATCTGAAGATTGTTATTCCAAGATGTTATATGAAGTTGCTGTAGCTGTAAATAAAATTTTGGTAGATCATATCGTTCCTATTATTCATTAATTTTCTTTTCAAAAATCTTATTTATTTTTTTGTTAATTTCAGAAAAACAAAACCAATCTAGACGTTATATTATTCACAAATAGAGTCAATCATGAAATTTTACTGAAAAACTATTTGTATCTTCTTTTATCAAAAGACTTTCAGATTACGGTTCACACATTTGTTTTTATTGTCAGTTGCTCTAGTTTTATTATAATTTGATGAAGATATGTCAATTTTTATGTTTTTATTTAATTTATTATTTTTTGGGGATTTTTTAAGAAATATTTTGTTTTAAGAAATTTACAAATAAACATAAAATTTGAGGGTCATATCATGTAAAAAAATCAAAAATTTTGTAACCTATAAATAATTTTCTATTTAAACTATATATATATATATATATATATATATATATAATCAAAAAATATATTTTTTAATTTTATATTTATGTTTCTTCTAATTTATTTATTCTATAAATTTTGAAATCTATGTAATATTTTTTATTGTTTAACAAAAATAATTAAAGCAAAACATTACAAAAATACAAATTTCCAAAAATGAATGGTATCAAGCAAGCATACACATGAGCAATTGCAAGCCATGAATGGAAGAGAGTAAAGAGTTTTAAGTACACAAAGTAAATGTTCATTTTTATCCATATTTACAAAAAATAGTAAATGCATAAAGAATCACATGCAAATAAATAAAAGGCACACTAGAACACCAATAAATAAATAGGGGGGACGAAAGATGCAA